TGATTTGATTTGATTTCGATTGAATTCTTCAAATCCCCCAAAGCAAAGGCCAGAGATCGATAATGGAGCAGAAGAGAAGCAATTTGCAGCAGGAAGAGGAGGAGATCGAGAGCTTCTCCGGCGGTGGAGTTCCAGTTCACAGCCAGGTGAGGAAGATCCGGCAAGAGATGGAGAAGATCAAACACCCTTCGTTGCAGCAGCCGGAGATGATGAGGCCGGTGCTTCGCGATATCACCGGACGGCAGCGCTCCCGATCGCCTCTCGGATTAGCTGAAAGGCCTATAACTGTTGGTAACTGATACCAGGGAAACACTCATCTTCTTCTCTTTTCCCCTGCTTTCTAGTTTTTTTTTTTTTTTTTTTAGTTGTAAATATTACTATGAAGGATATGGATATGGAAGCGAGCTCTCTCTCTCTCTCTCTATATATGTCTGTACTGTTTATGTTAAGTTGTCTCCCTTTTCATCTCTGGTTGGATGATGTAGCTCTGCTTCATAGCTTCAAATTTTGCAGAAAAAGAGATGAGATATTAAACCTTTTCTTTCACATAATCTTTTTCAAACTCATCAAATTTTCAGTTATATCTGAAAATTATGTATATATGGAATTTCTATCTGGCATGGTGCACAAACAAGTGTTGATAATACATATAACTCTTTAATGGATGTAAGGTGTTAAGTACAAAATTTTTGCCTTGATATAATTAATTATGAGGTAATTAAGTCTTAATATTTAAATACTAATTTCATCCTAAATTATTGTATGATATACTCTACAAAAGATAAAATTACTCTATCTATTTTACCTTTTTATTGTTTAAATGTATAATTACTTTTTTTTCCTTTTTAATTTTAAATGATTATAATAGTACAAGTTGGGTGGCATATATAATTATCTTTAATTTGGGTATTTGACTTGAAGCAAAAGCGTAAATTAAAATAAATGTTGATTTCATGCTCCAAAATTTTAAGAATATTATAATCTAGACTAGAAAGATGATAATACTTTCTTGATTCTCGAGAAGATACTTATAAATAAAAGATTTTACTTCTTTTTTATAAGACTATTATAATCTAGAGTGTTCATTTGTATAGTGGTTCTGAATTTTCTCATAAATAGAAAATTTTATTTTTTAAAAAATAAAAATAAAAAATAAAATTGACCAGAAAACACACAATTGACACTCGAAAGAGTATTCTAAATAAAACATATTTTGTGATCTTAACGACAAATTATAACCGACTCTGTTAAAATTATCACAAGATTTTACTTTCTACATGCCGTGTAGAGATGATTGATTGAATGAATGGAATCAGAGAACTTATTAGTTATTATTATTATATAAATTTTTTTTTCCATTTCTCTTTTCTTATTAATTATTTGGTTGTACGTCGCCTCTAAGGCACGAAAGCATTTCGTGGTTTGATCATGGACGGTGACGCATTCTTAGAGATAAGTTGGTAACTTTGGTCCTCTACAATAATATAATGGGATATTCCTATACTCAAGTTGTTAATATTTTACATTTAATCATATATTTTAAAATTATTTAGTTAATTTACATGTTTGACAGCAACAACTTTTTTTTTTTTTTTTTAAAGTAAATATGTTAAATAACACTTTCAAGCATTTTAGTTCGTTTAAAATTTCTTAGAAAAATGTTTTTTAAATCTCCAATATATCATTACCATATGCAAATTTAAAAAAAAAAATAATAAAAAAAAAATTGAGTGAGTTGTGAGCTTTTCATGCAGAATTCCTTTGCTATTTTTCTTCTATTACACACGCAATAAGTCAATAACAGTATAGATGGCAAATATTATTTATAAGATAAATTTTCTTGACATCAAAAAAGCAGATAAGTAATTTAAAAAATTTTCACAATCCAAGCTACTCAGAGAAAGAATCCAACCACCTTTGATTCGATTTACTTTGACTGAAATTTCCTAAGTCAATATTATACAGGTCAATGAGAATAACTCTCCACCCTTTTAAATTGTCAAGAAAATTCTTAATTTTCTATCTACCAAATGGCCGAGAGTAAAAACATTGACATAGCTATATGCATCTCAATGACATTATTCACAAGAGTGATAAATATTTATTCCAAAGGAAGTTAATGTTACAATAACAAAGATTTAGTTCAAACATAACAAATGTTACACAAAACTAAGGTCATAATTTGCCAATAGGACAACCAAAATGGCAGTTGAAGTGGCAAAGGAGCTCTTTTGTGGAGACGATCTTAGGGATAACTGCTTTCGATTTCCACAAGTGACAATTCTCTTTGGGCCAACTCCGATGCCTCTCGGAGCGAATGGGGTTTAGTCGGGTGGACTTCCGGACCGTAAAACGGACGGAGAAAGACCCGAAACACCTCGCGGTTTACAAAAAAAAAATAAAAATTGCCAATTGGACAAGGATAGGAAAGAATTTTATTCCCTGAAAAGAAGATGCAATATCAAAGTTGTATTCTTCAATGATTCCATTCTAAGTCGGCCAAATGAGAAAACAAGGAATCATAGAAGATCAAAGGTATAACACTATCAAAAGTTGCTCAATATGAGACAAGACTTGCATTATAGTACAACAAATTCTTCATATGTGAAAAGCTCTTCTAGAAGGGGAGATTGATACCTAGCTAGCTTTGGGCAGTAGCAGATTCCTTCGAGAGGAGCAACTTCACCCTCCTCGTAAGATCCCGCATAACATCTATAATGACAGACTTCTTTTGGATTCTGAACCGAATGGCCAAATCAGTCGTAGCAGACACGTTTTGTTTCAACAACGCCTCATCCTCCATGATCTTAGTCGGGAAGTGCCCAAGCGCAATCACGCACAAGGCGGTGACAGTGCGGAGAGCAGCCACTTCGTTTGCAGTTCCAAGCGGTGGTTGAGGTTCAACCGACAATGACTTAAGCGTGTCCATGCTGTGGTTTCGGACCGACTCCATGTCATTCGATAGGAAAGCTCGTAATGCAGCCATCAAACGCCCCTCTACGAGCTCGGGACCTCCTATCGTTACCTATTTTAGGAAGTCATCAAATTAAGTCTGTTGATATCGCGGTTTCTGCATAGCAATAACCCAAAATTAGAGGAAATAGGTTTACCTTTAGATCAGGATTTTCGCCATCGAGATTTAGCTGGGACAAAATCTCCCGCTGCCAAGGAGATGGTGAAGAGAAGTTCGGGGATTCAACTCCAGCAGCCATACTTGCAGCATCGAGAAGAGCGGGATCGTACCTGAGTTCAATGCAGTCATATGGATTGGAGGGTACGACAAATCCATAATCAAGAAGAAAAAGATCGTTATTTAGACAGCCATAGTTAAGTTCTAATGCATCGCTTCGTTTGATATGTTCTGCAGCAATCACCTGGCAAGCCAAAAAAACGATAAGAAACAAACATAAAAATTGGATGGATGGCTAAAACATTTGGAAAATTCATTTAAAATAAGTGAATGGATTACCTTTACGAGCATTTTCCCGTCACCTGCTTCACGTTCCTGTACGATTTCAGCATTTGGATGGAAGCTGTGATTACACATATCAATTAGCGGAAGCATCATTGGAACATTGTTATGGGTCCCATCCAGACGTTTCCCACCATACAAGCGGAATGCACGAGATGAAACAGCTGACATTGCCCATCCAAGCGCTGATGAATCCACGTCTTGGCCTTCGAAAGGATGATGATCACGTTCTACGTTACTGAGTTCATTCACTACAAATTTCTCAAATTCCAGAAGAAACCGACATCTCTTGTTTACCTGGTTCAATTAAAATTTCAGCACAATCACGAGTCAAAAATATCGAGTACCACAAACCAAACACGAAGGAGCATTGGATTATATTGAAATATTATTAGCGAAGTACCAAGCATAAGAGCAATTTATTATAAAAAACGACTGGAAGTCGAGGAAGTACCTGATAAAGAAGCGGGGCATATTGCAGGTTCTTTATATCTTCTCCAGGAAAGAAAATAGGAACGCTATACTTTTCCGGAAGATTGCTGATGTATGGCCACCAAAAAGAACCTTTTCTTGATCTTTCTTGCAGGAGCTTCAAACCCAATTTCATAGCCCATAGCTCCTCTGCCAAATGCTTTACTTCTTATATTCAAAACTCAAAAGCCTATTTGTGAAGAACTCAGTCACCAACCTATACTCACAAATTATAACATATGTACTAATATATTATATCAATTTTTCTATCCATTCATACACTACAGCACACAGAAGAATGTTTGCTTTTCTTTTAGTAAATATACAATTCAATATCAAAACTAAAAAATGATGTTACTGAAACAAAATTACATACAAAAAAGAAAATGGAACTTCAAAAATAAATGAAATAAAATGAAATGAAAGAGATACCAGGGACTTGTTGAGCCAGTTTAGGAATGGGAGAATCAGCTTCGACCGTACCAAATTGCAGCGGGAGATGCTCCGGGAGGGCAATGAGATCAGACCCTTTGGGGATATCATCAGAAGCAACGACGCCTAGGCCATAGGGCTCTGAGATTGCGATCTTCACCGACGGGTGCACGAACCCACCTTCTCTCTTGACCCATTTGATGAGGTCCGGCGGCTGCGTGGCCAGCCTCGAAGAATAGAGGGTGGCGGAGACGGCGGCGCAGGTTAGAGGGCGGAGGTGTGTGAGCGAGGCAGCCATTAGCGTCATCTTAGTCGGCATACTTTAACTCAGAGTCAGCATCAGACTCCGTGATAAGCCTAACAAAATATTGGGCTTTCGGGTAGAGAAAGCTCACAGATTTGGGCCGACATAATGAATCCACAACAACAAAGAAAATTAGAAATTTTAATTTTGAGCGACGGGACAAACCTGCAGTCAGTACTTAAGAGTTCACTAAACTTAGCACTAGTATAATAACTCGTAAATTGTAACCCCTCAAAACAATAACTATAACAATAACAATAACCGTAATAATAATAATAACAATAACAGTAGCAGCAACAACAACAACAACAACAATAGTAGTAACAACAATAACAATAACAAGTCTTGTGTGAAATATGGTAATTAATTTTCAATGTTTAAGCTAATGCATTCCTACCAAGAAATTGAAGTTTGATCTTCTTGAGTGCAACCAAAACATCTTTCATGCTAATCCTTTCCTCAGGTGCATCTTCACAGCATCTCAAGGCTACTTTCATAATAGAAGTAACACATTCTACATGCTTGGTGAATATCTCAATTTGATCTTGAGGCAATAAATTCAAGTCTATGACTTGAGTTATTGCATTTGGTAGCGAAGACTCTACCAAGCGCTTTAAGGTTGAATCTCCAGAGAAAATGTTATCACTTGGTTTCATCCGCGTGAATGTCTCCATTAACACAACACCATAGCTGTAAACGTCACTCCGAATTGATACCAGTCCTTGAGATCCGTATTCTATAAAATTAGAATTGAATAAGATATAATATCTATTCATCACTAGAAAAAATATTAAAGATAATATATACACGATTAAATAAGTATGAAGAAGATATTGAAATTTGAGGTCGATCACCTGGAGCAATATACCCAAATGTAGCCAATGTCTTTGTATGTGCCATGCTTTGCTCATCATCTAGGAACTTAGCTATCCCAAAATCACTAACATGACCAACCATTTCTTCATTTAGCAAAATATTAGTGGGCTTCAAATCACAATGAACGACTGGTACAAAATAATCATGGTGAAGATACTCCATTGCTGATGCCACATCTATCATTATATCCAGTCTTTGACGTATATCCAAGAAATTTTCATTTGAGTGAAGCCAATTATCTAGACTTCCATTAGGCATGTAATCGAGCACCAAAGCCTTGAAGTCTAGATTTGAGCAACTACTGATTACTCGGACAAAGTTTCGATGTCTTAAGTTACGCATTACTTCACATTCTACATCAAAACTCTTGAGTGCACCTTGTATTTCCATGTCAAACACCTTAATAGCACAAGAAGTCTCACTTGACAATATTCCTTTGTAAACAGAACTCAAGCTACCTTTCCCAAGCAAGTTGCTATCACTAAAACCATTTGTCATGCGTTGCAAGTCATAGTATGAAATCCTTTGGTGGATGCACCGTGATGGCAGATCAATTTCTAATGATTTGTTGGTTCTCTTCTTTCTTCTTCCAAATACAATAATCACAACAACTGCCATAGTTGAAATTAATAGAAAAACAAATACACTGATAAAAATGTATTTTCTCCTTACTTTATGAAGATGATGGTGAGTTGTGGTGCACTGATGAAACCAAGGGGCCCCACATAATGCTTGGTTAGACATAAAAGATTGGCGGGTGAAGTTTGCAAAAGGGCCTCCATTAGGAACTTCTCCACTTAGCTTGTTGTAGGAAACATTGAAATGCTTGAGATACAAAAGCTTTTCAAATGATTTTGGAATCTCACCAAGTAAATTGTTAAGTGATAGATCCAATTCTTCTAAGTTTAACATGTTACCAAGTGACTTTGGAATCAAACCTTGCAAACGATTGTGTGCCAAAGAAAGATTTTGTAGCATCTGCAACGTTCCGAGTGTGCTAGGAATATTGCCCATAATTTGATTTGCTGATAGATCCATGAAGATGAGGGACTTCAAGTTTCCAATTTCAAAAGACAATGAACCATTTATTGAGTTGGAAGACAAATTCAATTCCAATAGATCTTTGAGATTCCATAAATTTACAGGTATTGCGGAAGTCAAGTTGTTTGAGTTAAGATAAATGTACCTTAATGAAGTAATATTTCCAAGACAATCAGGAATTTTTCCATTAAGTCTATTACTTTCCAAATCTAACTTGCCCAAATTTGGGAGATAGCAAAGCTCTGTTGGAATTGATCCTTGCAACTTGTTGCCTGGAAGACGTAATATCTGAACCATTGATAACCTCTTCATGCTTGTAGGAATAAATCCTCCCAAACTGTTTTCATCTAAACCTAAATATATTATGTTGCTCAAATTTCCAATTTCTGGGGGTATAGTTCCCATTATCCCACAATCTTCCAACTCAAGAGTTTCAAGTTCACTTGAAAAATTTCCCATAGAAGATGGAAGAATTCCATTTAGATAATTTCCACTAAAGGACAATTCTCTTAACTTCATGCATTTTGTTAGGGAACTAATAAAACTCAGCTCTTTATCAAATCGTGATGTCGGGCTATGCAAATTGTTGAATCCTAGATTCAGCCACTTCAACAATCTTAGATCACCGAGAGAACTTGGAATGAAACCCGTTAATTCATTTTGAGACATGTCTAGAAATTCAAGTTTAGATGCATTCATAAGAAATGACGGTATATTTCCACTCAGTTTATTCAAATCAATAGATATCTCTATTAGATTTGGTACACTCATCTTCACACTTGACTGTAACTTCCCTGTCAAATTATTTTGTTCAAGTGACACTATGGATAACTCTGATATGTTGAATATTCTTGATGGGATAGAACCTATTAAGTTGTTTTCACCTAGATCTAGCAGGTGCAAATTGTTAAGGTCACCCATTTCTAGCGGTATTGTCCCTGTAGAGATTTGGTGATAAAATGCTTAAAAATACACCAATGACAATTACATATAAGCTATCTAGAAATTAAGTATATATTGAACCCGCAATTGCAAGCATTCCAGAGGCAAAAGTAGACTTCTACTCACTAATAAAGTAGAATTATGAAAGTTAATTTGTAATTTATTACTATTAGCTAGGTTCAATGAAATTGACTTTTTTTTTTTTTTTTTTTTTTTATATAAAGGAACGGGATACCCACATATACAAGCTATTACATTAAATGTCACCATAGGGGAGCAACTTGGTACCAGTGGACCACAAGGTCCTTGGTAATGAAATTGAGTAAATTGTAAATATTTTTTAAATTTTTTCTTTTTATTTATAAATCCTTAATTATAAAATTTGATTTTTAATTTATTAATTATTATATACTATTATTATTATTATTATTATTATTATTATTATTATTATTATTATTATTATTATTATTAGCTCTAGTATTATTGTCTTTAATTGTAAATTATTCATATTATATAGGTGTTATTTTTATAGTTATTTTTATATATAGTATAATGAGGTGAAGCTAGCAAGTGGTTAGTAGGAAGTTGTAACCACCAGTTTAATACTGCTATTCTAAGGGAAAATAATTAAAACTAAATAGAGACAAAATATATCAGCCACAAGTATCCTTAATAATAATAATAATAATAATAATAATAATAATAATAATTATTATTATTATTATTATTATTATTATTATTTTATTATTATTATTATCATCATCATCATCAGTTGTATATATACTTGTATTATCAACCTTTTCTAGCAACTTGTTATAAAGTTTTATTTTATATGTAGCATGTGCATTGACAATATACTTATCTAGTTATTTATAGGGAAAATATTTAATATATTAGAATTTTTAGATATCTTCAAATATATGGAGTAATAAATTTTCATTTTATGTAAAAATAATATATCACTTATTAACAATATGTGCAATACTTTTCAAAAGCAATGTAATATTTTTTAATAAATAATATAATATTTTTAATACTAAAAAAATATACTTTGTAGTAAGCATGTAATATTGTTTCCAAAATAAGTAATAAATTCAAAGAAAAAGTAATACTTTTTAATGAAAACGTTATAGTGAATATCTCCAAATATAGTGATTTTAAATTATCTAAGAATATATGACTTATCATGGAACATATAACAGGGTGTTTGGTTGGAGGGATTTTAAATTCTCTTCCCACTTAATTCCCACCTAATTCCAAAGGCCATTAAATTCCGTAGTTTGGTTGGAGGGAATTGCAATTCCATGGAATTGTAATTCCCCCATTTTCATGGAATTAAAATCCTATGTCCCCCCTGGTATTTTAATTCCTGGGAAAAAAAATTTGTGATGAGTCAAAATTATCCCTTCCTTTTTTAACTTAAAATTAATGTCTAACAACAATAATGGACATTTTTGACTTTATACTACTTATTCCCTTTCAATTCCCATGTATACCAAACATTGGAATTGAAATTCCCAGTAATTTTATTCCTGTCAACCAAACACTGGAATTTAAATTCCTACTTTATTCCCAGTAATTCAACTCCCATGAAATTACAATTCTTTTCCCACATAATTCCCCCACTCCAACCAAACGTCCTGTAATACTTTTAAGAAAAATATAATACTTTTTTTTTTTTTTTGCAAAATTGTAATATATTTCATAATCAAAGAATAATGTTTTCTTTTTCCAGTGAAAATATAATACTTCGAATGACTAATAGTGTCGTGACACATCTTTTATCACTTTTTTGAAATTACATCTTTTATCACTAAAAAGATTAAAAAAAATATTGAACATATACTACAAGGAAAATATATAATAATCAACGTTACACACGTACTCACCAAATAAGTTGGCATTCGCTATGTTTAGAAACTCCAATTGCCGAAGATTCCCTATTGTGTCAGGAATTTCTCCTGCATATATATATATCATCATCAACCTTAAAAATTACTGTACTCGACTTAACTCTGAATGCAATAATGTTAAATGAGTATAATTAAACATCGTACCCATCAAATTGTTGTACCCCAGATATAAGTTTCGAAGGGATGTTAAGTTTCCAAAATTTCTGGGAATTGGACCCTCCAGCTTATTGACTGACAAAGAAAGATCTGAAAGCCTTGAACATCCACTGATATTTGAAGAAAATATTTTTCCCTTCAACTGATTGTAGGATAGATAAATCCCAGAAATTGAAGGTAGATGAGAGCAGATATCCAGTGGAATGTGTCCAGATATGGAGTTATTAGTAAAATCCAAAATTTGCAGCATTGAGAAGTTAAGCACGCAGGGTGGAAACGAGCCAGAGAGTCCATTAGAGTACAGGTTGAAATACTTCATCTTGCGTAGACTACTGTACTCATTTGGAACGTTTCCGGCAATAGCACCATTGTCATGTAGATTCAAGTGCTCTAGCTCAGTTAAGTTTGATAAAGAAACAGGAAGGGCGCCTGAGAATCTGCAGCCATGGAGGCCCAGGAATTTGAGCTTCTTCAAGGACCCCAACCACGCCGGAATGTCGCCGACGAAGTTGTTGTAGCCGGCATCAAGGTGTTTCAGGCGTCGCAGTTTAGACAGCTCCTCCGGGAGATGACCTGAGAAGCTATTGTTTCGGAGGTCGAGTTCAACTAGGAAGGAGAGGTTCCCTATTTGGGAGGGCAGGGAGCCGGCGAGGCCTTTAGAGGAGAGGTCAAGGACGGAGACTCTTTTGTGAGTGTTACAGAAAACTCCGATCCAGTCACAAACGGGGGTGGCGGTGGACCAGTTGGAGAGCAAGATGTTGTGAGGGTCCAGAATATGGGATTTAATGGCAAGAAGGGCAGACTGGTCGGTGGTAATATTGGTGGAAGAAGAACCAAAATATGGAAGCTGAAGCAGGGGTAGTAGGAGAAAGAATGCATACTGAAAATGCATTATATTCATGATTGATATGATTATATTGTGATTGACATGCATGTAGATGCAAACCAAATATATATTTATAGCTGAGGTTTGGTTCTCCGATCCATTCAAACCAAATGTCAAGTTAAATTAATTAAACTCTTATTAAAGTAATTTGACTGCCCAAGACCACGTGGTTTAGTGGTAAAGTTGTTCTTCCATATGGCCTATGTGCTTCATTATTGAGAAAGTAGTACTAAAAAAAAGTAATCTGACTCGGTATGTTTTGCATGAATCTTTCATAATTATTACACTTTTTTTTTATTCAATAGGTATTATAGAGTATAATTTTTCTCATAAATAACTATTTTGTTAGTTATATCGCATATGCATGTATTGAAGGATGAAAGGTGTTGTTGGACTGAACAGAGCAGAGTGGAGCGGAGTCGAAACGTCTATTGAGGTTATGTTTTCCCCCTTTTGTCATGTAACATGGAGCGGGTGAGGGGTGCGGGGCAGTGCTCATACGGTACAGTAAAGGAGTAACTTAGTACATGTACCTTTGAATAGTACAATAATTTTAGGAAAAATGTATAGTAGTTACTAATGGACAAATTGTTTAATGGACAAAAATATAATACTTTAAAATCAAAATGTAATATTAAGCGTTGAAAGTTACTTGTGATAAAACTATTGTACATATGTAGAAAAATGTAATACTTACTAAAAAGCCCAACCTATATCACGGATGAGGATCTATGAGATGGTCTTAAGGGTGGGTAATTGGGTTTTATTTTCCCGAACCAAACTATTAATATACTGAAAAATCAAACGGTTCAAAATTCTTGTAAAGTGAATGGTTTGGTTAAAAATCGAACCAACCGAATGGTTTGGTAAAATCGAACCGAACCAAATACGATTTGACTACTTTTTAATAATAATAATAATAATAATAATAATAATAATAATAATAAATAGTAAATCAACAGTTATTGGTTAGGAGATAACAGATTGCATATGTGTTAGCAGGTTTCACAAGCAGATTGTATCAACGGTTTATTAAAAACAAATTGGTAAAATTTACTGTTTAAGTTAGTAGTTAACATGTAAAACGGCATATAAGTACATTTATATAATAATAAATTTTCAATAATAATAATAATAATAATAATAATAATAATAATAAATAAATAAATAAATAAAGAAATAACAAAGTAATAATAATAATTACAACAACAACAACAAAAATTGAAAAAAAAAATAATAAATAAAGCTAAGCGGGGTAGCGGGCATTGTCTTGCATCGAAGAAAAACGAAGGAGGAGCGTAGCAACGAAACTCCTCAATCTTCCTTCTTCATTTTGCATTACCCATTTGATATCTCACATCGGATGGGTAATAAAGGAAAGTCTCAACGTTTCTTTATTTGAGAGCCTTTGAGGCTTCCAAAATGAAGTTTTTTTTTTTTTTTTTTTTTTTTTTTTTTAAGTTTTGATTAGACCATATCCAACTCAAAATATCAAATTTTGCATCAAATTTTACACTAAAATGAATATTATCAGCATATTTTTACACCAATTTTTTTTCATCTCTAACCCATTACACCAAATTTTATTCTTACACCCTCATAAAGTTTATATTTATACTTTTATTATTTTAACAAAATTAATAGTTGTAATTTAATAAATTAAATTTTAATTATATTTTATGTAATTTTATTTTTAATTAAATTATATTTAATATTAGTTTTGTTTTAATCGTCTTGATAAGATATTTCAAATGATATAATTTTATTTTAATAATAATATACAATTTATGTTTAATATTTAATGAAATATGTAAATATATAAAAACAAAAAAGGATACAATATAATTATAATGTAAATATTATTTTATTCCACAATAATAAATCATAGAACATCCGCTACATTTCATTTTCAGAATTACTATATCATTCCCACATATGCTCGATCAATGCATCACGAAGTGCATAATTTGGGAGGAAATGATGCTGACCTAGGAGATTATTGAATAGATTTAAGTATGTTTAATTTAAAGTAGTTTTAATTAAGCTTTATGATGAACTGAATATTGGGCAAGAAATTGTAAAGTCATTGTACTAAATTCTAAGAAATGGTATGATGACGATGACGACGATGATGGTGATGATGAACTGAATATTGGGCAAGAAATTGTACATTAACGCGTAATGACTTTGGTGTTTAATTTATGGAAAATTGACTTGAAAAAAAGACTTGACTAATCTAACTTATAAAGTTATTGTACAAAATTCTAAGAAATGGATGATAACGATGACGATGATGATTTTACCACCACCACCACTATACAAACTAGTTAAATTAGCTGGGGTCAATTTCAACTGAATTGATTAACGACTTGATTTGGTAATCACAAAATTTTAAATTCGGCGCCTTGAAAATTAATCAAAGCTAGACTAGCTATCTTTAAAATGTCATAGTAATGGATTCTTCCATATCAAGCTTTACAAATTAGACTAATCATCTCATGTCACTGGTATCACTAGGATTCCACCTCCAATGTATTGTATATATATTTTTTTAAATAAAAAGTTGGATAGCCTAAGCTAATTGCATTATCTGGTATAATTCAAGGGTATATATATATATATATATATATATATATATATATATATATATATATATATATATATATTCAATAAAATTTTAAAAATTGGTATGAGAAGAGAAAAAAAAACAGACTACACTAGCTACAAAGTCTTGCTGCCTCGGTCACGAAGTCTTCTAAAATAGAGAGAATGGAAAGTGTCTGCACGGACTTAACTCACTGCTGGAAATCTCGCGTTTTCCGTCCAACAAAAATTGGACGGAAAACGCGATATATTGGTCGGAAACGACGTTTCCGTCCAACATACCGACCAAAAGGAACGTTCGGAAAAACCTCCGTGGGAAATTTCGTCCAACTACGATTTGTGGTCGGAAATAGCGTCCAACGAACAAAAATTGGACGGAAATTCCGGCAAGTAACCCACCATTTTTTAAACGTTGGAAATTCCATCCAACTACGTGCGTTGGTCGAAAATTCCGTCCAACTACGTACGTTGGTCGGAAATTCTGACCAATGTTGGACGGAAAACTCACATATTATATTTTGTTATTTTCCTTCCAACTGTTGGTAGGAAAATCCTAAATCATCATATGAAATGTTTTATTATTTTTATATTACCATAATTTTATTTATACATGTTGTAAATAAATTATATGTCATCAACAAATTAATGGATACACTAAATTCAAAATTAAAAATATATTTAAATATCAAAATTATTTACAATAAAAATTATGGTCATGTTCATAAAAAAAAAAGTCATAAAAAAATATATACTACTTGATTAATACTACTTAAGTATGAAAATATATACTACTTATTCGATACTACTTATTAAGTATGCTCGTTGCACCCAAATAAGCCTTCAAATCCGGCACTACTTCAATGGCTTTGATCAATGCAACATCCACAACCTCCTTCTTCAATGAGGTTGATCAAGTGTAGACCTTCACCAAAAATGGACCATGATATAAGTAATCTAACACAGAATAAGTAGATACCTATGCATTTTACAAAATGACTAGAAAATTAAAGAAATGCCTTTATGTTTAAGTAATCTAACATAGAAAAAATAGAAAACTTCTGAATTCTTACATACTAATTCTAAAGTTTGCTTAGTATAAGAGCTGTATTACTTCTCTTCATCTGTTCATCCAACAACTAAGTTTTAGCTGGACACTAAATTATTTTGTAGTGTTGCATGCAAACAAAGATTCAAATTAAATCCAATCAAGAGAATGGCAAAGCACTAGAAAACAAGGAAGCACATGCCAGAGATTAAGAAAGCATTCAAGTTATGCAATCTCACCTGATTGAAGTGATTGCTCTATTTGTTGTGCTAGGCCAGCCTCTAGAACATCTTCAACTAGAAAATCACCAGTTAATTTATTTGCAACTCTATAGCAAGCAACATTCGTTGTCAGGAGAGTTCAAGAAACACAAACGACGAAACGTTATGTAACATGAACACCATTGCAAAAGAGGTTATTTGTTTCTGTAACCTAGTACAGAAACAAATAACCAGATAAGATCATTAAAAAGAAAGACACAAAAATGACCATACAAGGTGTTTGTGAGCAAAAAACGCGTGGCTAATCTGGGAAAGAATGCAGTGCAGTTTCGTCATGATAAACCCAACTCAAGAAGGCCAATCGAAAACTGCTAATAACTGACCAACTCAGACCAATAAACTTACGTTGAAAGTCAAATTTGTATTTACCAAGCATACAGCCCGACCAACTTAGCTGGCCCATATTATCATTGCCATTTCAAACATAATAGGATGATGAATCAAGCCATCAACAATATTAAAGAAAGAACAAAACTTTTGGCAGTAAACAAGAACAACAACCTTTACCCATTTCACTTTGCAACACTACAATAATATACAATCTAAATCAAAATATAATGAAATAAATAATCAAGACTGCAACTTTAATCTTCCAAACGAGAGAAGGAGTTTGAACAGAAAGCTTACAGAGGATAAGCCAGAGCAAGCATAGGCCTGCAAGCAGAAGAGAAAGCAGCACATTTATACGGTTCATATACGTATATACAGACATCTATACAGTCTCTATAATGTATGTATCCGTTTATACAGATTCATGCAGTTCAGAAATGAAGAAGAAGATGGATTACCAGGCAAAAAAGCATATGATCATCATCTTGAAAATAGTGAAATGCAAAGAATAATAAGAACATGTTCAGATATCTTTATCAATGAATATACTAATCACAGGTGCTTCCATTCAGCACCAGAATTTAGATTAAAATAATTGCAGTAAGGCAACTATATCTACTCACTCAAAGATTAACTGAATTTTACAAACAAATATCATTTTCCAGTGAAATAATAAGAACATGTTCAGATATCTTTATCAAGCCTCCTTAATATTTGTCACTGTGCCCAGTACCACCTCAGCATTCAAATTATCTTTCAAGGATTTTATAAACTACAAGAAAAGATTACAGAACCTCTCAAAAAATGCCTAAGTATCCCATCCTAATGACAAAAGTAAAAGACAAATCAGAACCTTAGCTTAACATAAGCATCACGTACCATTACCACCTAACTACCTATTCCCACAACTAATCAATACCACCATTGCCTACCTTGCACATTAGTATTTTAAAATGAAGAAAGCAAGAAAACAAATTGAAGTTCAAATACTTTCATACTTCATAAATAGAAATAAAATTGAACGTGAGCATATTAAACTCACCAATTGCTTCCATATACTTTGGATCACCAGGTGACTTGAGATCTGTCACTTGAGGCTTCACTCATGATCAACACCACCACCTCATATGTGTGTGTATGCCCACCTTCGACCACTAACACCTCTACCACCATTATCACCTAACTACCTATGCCCACAACTAATCAATACCACCATTCTATTTAATCTTATTATCACATAAATCATAAAAAAAAAAATTTAAATCAAATATAGCAAAATAACAATAAAATTCAAAATAAATCAACAATAATTCGAAATACATTTTATTTAAAATAAAAAAATAGCACAATAACTCTAAGCCCAAGCCAGGGGTTTGTTGAAGAGAACACTTCCTCTAATCATACTCACTGTGCACCTCACAACCTAAACCAGTGAATAGGCAGCAGCTAATCCATTGGGTATCACAAAAAACCTGAAACCCAAAAAGAATATACACACACCAAACCAATTTTATATTTGAGTGTAAAGAATTAAACCCCAACAGAATTTAGTGTGAATTATTAAGGGCTTTCATGTCTGAAAATTTGGAGATCTCCCTAACTTGAATATCTGTCCCTATAAGAACAGAACCAACAAATCGCGCACCTCAAAACCAGCTCTGCAAGTCTTAATCTCTTCTCAACCACCTTTAGGTTGATGCCATAGTAAAATATAAAATATCAATAATATATTTGTACGTACCTATCACTTGCGATGGAGACCGGATATTTCAGCAACAGCGAACGATGGCGACCTTGTGCGAAGAGTGACGGCAACGGAGCGTGACCGGCGACCTTCCTCTGCTCCAATGGAGAACGGGGCGACGACGTACTAGCGAAGGAGGATGCGATGGCGAAGGAGGGGGCGGCAGAGACGACCGGCGATGATGGATGCGATTGGTTGGAGAGAAGACCTAATTTTGCTAAGTATTTGGGACTATTGCGTAATAGAGAAGGTTGGAAGCGGGAATATTTTAATTTCCTAAATATTTGGTGGGAATGAATTAGATTTTATTTTGAGATGATATTTCAGATATCAATTGTGGGAATGAATATTAAATTTCCGTCCAATATTACGTTGGACGGATATTAAAATACCTACTATTTTAATTTCTACCTATCAGTCAATTCGACTTTACCAACCAACACTATAGGTTGGTCAGAATTTCCGTCCAACGCGCGAGTGTTGGACGGAATTTCCGTTCAACACTTGCGCGTTGGACGGAAATTCCGACCAACTTTCCGTCCACCCATCTTTAGTAACAGAAAGTTGAAATCTTTAGTAAAATACCGACCAATTTACGGTTGGACGGAAATGTTGGACGGAAAACGCGAGATTTCCAGCAGTGACTCATTAATTCAATAGATAATATTTGAGAAAAGAAGATAATGAGAAGTTTTAGAAAAGAGACAAATGGCCAACTTCTCAAGAAAATTTATATTAGCAATTAATGTTTTCTAAGAAGTTGTTGAAGGGGATAATGATGCATACAATGAAGTGTATATTGGGCAAGAATTTGTGCAAGTTATCTAAGTAAATGATATATTCCCAAATTTGTTGACCTCATTAAGCCTTAATTCGATATAAGCACTACCATTTCGCTTATTGAGCAAATATCTATTTTATCCTCTATTATATCTTTTACTTTTCTTAAATACTCATGCACTCCATGAGTGTAAACTTTAGTAACAGAATATTCTGTTGAAACTCCTCAATGCTCCTCCTTCATTTTGCATTACCTAGATATCTCACATCGGATGATAAATGAAGGAAAGCCTCAACGCTTTTTTATTTGATGAGGGCCTTTGATGCTTCTAAAATGAAGTTTTTTTTTTTAAAAAAAATATTGATATTGACTAGGGCATTCAAAACATCAAATCCCAAATACTGTTATTTGCAATGTTTAAAGTTTCAGCGATTTGGAGTCAAACCCTTGTTTACCAAACGAAGTTTTTGGCATTAAAAGTGACAAATTTATCGTTTATCAAAATAGCCCAAAGTCTTGGTCATGAATTTATCCAAAAGATACGTTGTATGTTCACTATGAAATTGTTGAAGGAGAAATAATGCATGCACACTATACCGTGAAGATTGGGCAAGAAATTGTGCAACTTACTTTAATTTAGTGCATATTTCTTTACACACGTACTGCACAATGAGAACTACTTCAAATTACTTTTTTTTTTTTGGGAAGAATTACCTAAGTTTAATTATATTAAGTTGGTCAATATAAACATTTATTTTGGTGTGAAACACATTATATGATGTTGTAGTAGACTAGACCAACAAAGGGTGTGAAAGTGTGAAACACATGATATGATATTGTACGTAGTAGACTAGACCAACGAAGTCTTGCATCCCTGGTGTGGTCAAGTTCACTTCTTATAGTACTAAGAACAACACTAATAGTTTGGTATTTTAATGAGTTTTTGCAAAAGTAATTAGGATCGAGAAAATTGAGAACAGAAAAAAGAAAAAAAAAATCCAAAACAATTATATTAACACGCCTGGTGTGTGCGGAACTTGCGCTTAACGCGCCTAATCTCAACTTTTGGTTTTTCTTGTTTTTTTTAGCGGACCCCGAAAAAACACTAATGGAAATTATGAAATTTCCGACCACCTGAAAGTGATCTTAAATCAAGTCGAAAGTCTTGTTCCGACCACTTTTAGTATCTGGAAAAACCTTTGTTGCTATTTCTGACCACTTTTTACTTTCAACTTGATTTAAGATTACTTTTAGGTGATCGAAAATTTCATAATTTTCAGTAGTCACCGCTGGGAATCGCCAATTTTCCGACCACCCAAAAGTGGTCGGAAATGACCAAAATTCGGTCAGAAACCATTTGAGGGGTTCGGAAAACGCCCGTCGGTAATTCCGACCACCATATGACGTGGTCGGAATAGCGTCCATTTTTGTAACGTCGTCGGAAAAATCGACCACAACAGAATTGGCAAATTTCAATTTTCCGACCAAAATTTCGACCACAGGTGGTCGGAAATTCCCTCCCCGTAAGTCTGTGTCTGTGATATTGGCAGTTCCGACCACATCTGGTGGTCGGAAAATAATTAAGTGAAAAAAAAAATAAAAAATTCACTGCTTTGTAAATTTAATTTAAAATACAAATTATCCACTTGCAAATAGCAACTGTAACACCAATAGTAGTTTCATACCAATACAAGTTTATGATACTAATCGGAATAAACAACACCGAACCATACATTTAATACAATTCACATGCAATCTGTGGCACTAGTGTTTAATCAATCACAACTCACAAGTATCATACTTTATAAACTGCATTACCTTGGCACTGCACAAGAAAAAAGTAGAGTAAATAGATTGAGAGTTTGAGAGAGCCAGCACCAAAAGTACTATGGTTAGCATGTAGCAATCACATAGAAAGTAATAGAAGAATAAGGAAAATGAAACAACCTATTTGGACTAGCAAGCAACTTAAAGTGGAAACTTTCGCGTATTTCGTTTCTGCCTAGGCAAAATTTTACATACTGCTTTTACATATATTCCAAGTGCATCTCTTTTTATGAGATGTTTTTGAGATTTCTAAAGATGCAACACACTAATCATAGTGTAAGCCCTTGTTTTTAAATTTTTCTGTCGGCTTTCTAGATGTCATTTTCCCACAGATATTTAAGAATAAAGAAACATATACACAATAGAAAGTAAAAAAAAAAAAAAAAACAAACACACAATAACAACAAAAATAATAGTAGAATAGAGTTAATTACCTTATAGCTATAAGGATTAAGGAGTGAAGGAACTTTCAGAATCTGTTAATAGTGCAATCACTTCATCAAAAACGAGATTGGGCTTGAAGAAGCCAGAACTGAGAAAGAGTTTGAGAGAGATCAGAGAGAGCAAGTCCCCTAATTCAAATGCAAGAGATGATGTATCAAGGAACTATTCTCAATCAAGTAAAACTCCATATGCATGCAGTGAAGATTGATGACACATTAAAACCTCCTCAAACTAAAGCTACAAAGACATTACGCAGATGAACCAGTGATGAACATATGCAGCCTAAATTTCTTTTTTACAGGGCAAATCAAAAATTAAAGGAAAGACATTATATATGATGATCGATCCAATGTTCTTATAGAGTCACAGAACCCTATTGACTATCTAATAATACAGAGATGATGAAGGAAAGAAAATAGAGAAAAGAAATGTTTCGAAACCTGAACTACATTTAAGGCCTCACATCATTGTCATAGGTCTCAATCATGTCATCCTCTAATACCTTTGCACCAGAACTTTCATACTATCCTATAAAATGCATAAAGTAATTGAATGTCAAGCAAGCAAAAGAAAGAGTATACCATCTTAATAAAAGAGCATGGAACAAAAGATAAGACACTTTCATATGATGTATAGGTAGATGTAGATTAAGTAAAAGATTCACCCGATAAACATAAATAAATACAACAAATATAGATTAGATTAAATTTCTCTCTTTTACACTCTATTTCCAGGGGCTTCGGCCCTTTATCCTACCAAAAAAAAAAATAGCCAACTATTATGTAGTGTGATGACACCTCTGTTACCATTCTAAATAAGTGATCATAAGATCAAACCTTGATAGTAGGACATTAATTCTTAACAGGTAACTATGACATAAATTTTTTTAGATCAATAATCTCTTCCATTTCCAAATACTACTAACCGCATCTCCTATGTCTTATCAATTAAGAATTCGATCAATTCAACTATTTACAAATATTTGTTCCTTAAAAAAAAAAAAAAAAAAAAAAAAAAAAAAAAAAAAAACAACAACTATTGTCTTACTATACCCATCAATCAATTTTCTATTTATAATAGGAAACAATGAGAAAGGGAGGTAAAGTATTTTGTCCCTCTTCACATAAACAATTACACTTAAATCTTTCCACTTCAAAATTCAAAATTACATAAAATTATTAAAGTGTCACTGGAGTTTTTAAACTTTTATACTCTTTGCACTAATAGCATAAACTTATGCATTTATAGTATACAATTTTTACACATTGTAACATAAATCTTTGCACTTCATCAAAATTAAAAAATTATCAAAATACCACCTCATTTTTAAAAAAACTTCCCTTCATATGTAATTCTCTACCTTTGGATTCTATTTAATGCAATGTTCGTTTGGTTTCAAAAAAAAAAAAAAAAAAAAAAAAAAAAAAAACTGAAACAGAAACCAATGTGAAGTGGAGGTGCATATGCTGTTAATCATTATGTTTTTCAAAGGTTCATATGATTGGGCCATTATTGACAAGGTATTGGTTCATGAAGAGTAAACGGGGACCTTATTGGGGTTAATGGAGGGAAAGATGACATATTGGCCCAAGAAAGGAGTGAAGAAAGGCAAATTATATCGTGCACAGGAGGTATAACGTATTATACGCCTTAAGAGTTTATGTGTATTAAGTATTTATGTTTGATTATGTGTATTATATTAAAAGTTTATTTGTATTCTACTATACAATTATGTACATACAAAATATGATATTTTTAGGCCACACAACTGACACAAGTATTGTGTGCCCTGGTGCACGATATAACAATTGATACTGGCAAATTATATACCACAATGCATTATAGTCCAGACACCAAAACGGTGTCGTTTCTTTTAATGAAAAGAAATGGACCTGTTCCGCGCCGTCCGCAAAAAGTAACTTTGGTTGTATTACATATTCAGTTTCATTTTGTATACACTGCAGTTTCATTTCGATATAACTACAATTTGATTCGATATTATACACTCAAATATATGAAATTGTTATTCAGTTTCATTTTATATACACTACAGTTTCATACAACACAAGTACATTATCATTTCGATATAACTACAGTTTCATTGCACAATATACACTCAAATATGTGAAATGTTATTCAGTTTCATTTCAACGAAATTATAGTATCATTTTGATATAACTACAGTTTCGCTGGATAATATACACTCAAATATGTGAAATTGTTATTCAGTTTCATTTCAACGAAATTATAGTATCATTTTGATATAACTACAGTTTCGCTGGATAATATACACTCAAATATGTGAAATTGTTATTCAGTTTCATTTTGTATTCACTGCAGTTTCATTTCAACACAACAACGGTTTCATTTCAATTCAATTGCAGTTTCATTCGATAATATAAAAATAATACATGAAGAATGTCAGTTTAGATACACTGTAGTTTCATTTGGTAATTAACACTCAAAAAATACACGCTCCCATTTTTGGACCATGGTCTACGATATAATTGCTGGTCAATACCCCACCACCACCGAGGTTCGATCCACCATACTCCCATCATCACCACACTACTGAAGTTCGATTTTATGGTATTTCCTAAAAGAGAGCCACGAAGATGCCAGCTGAGCACATACAGAGTAAAAATTAAATTAATTAAATATTGTTAATATTTTATATTATTTCTTGATAAAAATTATATTATATTCTAAGTTACTACTCTAAAAATGACACGTGTACAATCTAGAATGATCGATGAAACGCCACGTTTAATGCCACAAATCAAGATTCAAGGGGTTAACGGTTCACGGGCTCAACATAGCCAGGCGTGGTCCCTAGTTCACGAGCTATAGGATTAAGCCCAGCTTGGAATTATTGTTTAATTTGAAGCCACGACAAAAATTGCTGATCTCTGTCACATGGTACGTTTTGCTAAACACCACCAATTTATAAGACCAAAGTATCACAACGTACCATAGAAAAATGACACATTATTAGATTATATTGTCCCACAATAACAATGTAAGATTATTTGTGATGTTTGGTAAGTTTTATGTTATTTACCAAGGCTTGGAGAGCATACATAAATATATATGTGCTGAAACAATATTCTTCTAAATGTAGCCATTTCTTCTCCCAAAAAAGTTGAATCTTCAGTCCCAAGGGTCTCCCACACCCCGACCTAACAGAGAATTTTGAAAGATGTAAATCACGGTGGTTCAATGATTCAGCAGATAGGGCTAGCCAGAGCATTTGGATAGATGTAAATCACGATGACTCAATGCTCAGCAAATAGGGTCAGATAGAAAATTTGGAAGGATGTAAATTACGGTGACTCAATGACTCAGCAAATAGGATCAGACAGAGGATTTAGAAGGATGTAAATTACGACGACTTAATGATTCAGCAGACAGGTACCCGCGGATATAAGGGATCTGTCCACTTTTGATATATTACCACATTATTGCTATCAAGATTCAAATATTGACTGCCTATTGAACCAGTAAGCTAAGCTCGTAAAGGCTAGATGTAACCCTTTCTCTCTATATATATAGTAGCATTATATTGGTGAGTGCAGCTGCCAAAGAATAATTAATTATCTATCTGTCCCTCTTTATTTTCTCCTCAAACCAAACATGAAAAGCCTCCATTATTTTCTCCCTCTTCTCATTCTCTTCATCACCATCACCCTCACCACGGCATCTCCACCCTCCTCCTCCTCCTCCTCATCATCATCATCACCAGCCCCCATGAAAAACCTAAGCAACGACACAATCTACAGGATCTCCAAACAGCTATGCTGGAACTGCCTAGGAGAGGCCCTGCAGTTCCTGTTCCGACACAACCTAGTCAGGGCATCCAAGTGGGAGCCCCCACTCGCGTGGGACCCGCAGCTGGAGGCCTACGCCACGTGGTGGGCGGCCCAGAGAAAGGCAGACTGCCGCCCCATGCACTCCTTCCCAGAAGGGGATTTCAAGCTGGGAGAGAACATATATTGGGGGAGTGGCTCCACTTGGACCCCTGGCGATGCAGTCAAGGCCTGGGCTGATGAACAGAAGTATTATAACTATGATGCAAATAGCTGTGCTGAAGGGCAGGTTTGTGGGCATTACACTCAGATTGTGTGGAGAAAGAGTGTGAGAGTTGGGTGTGCTAGGGTTGTTTGTGATGATGGTGATGTTTTCATGACATGTAATTACTACCCACCTGGGAATTATATTGGTGAGAAGCCATATTAGTGTTATATATATATTTATCTCACATATATATGTACATGTGAATCATATTCCTTACATTTCTGTATATCATAAATGATGGTATAAAATACTACTCTCTCTGTCTCATTTTATCTGTCATATTTACTATTCATGGGTCAAATCAACTTTTTTTTTTCTTTGTTTATTTTTTTTAGTATTTTTTTTTACTTATTTTTAAATTTAATGATCGTGTTTAATAGTACTTTAGTGTAGTTTTTAAATATATATATTTTGTATAGTAATACAAAACTTAAAATGGGACGGACAATGGAGTATTAAATATTATTGGAATAAGGATTAAATAATCCATCTATTGAATCATATTGGTTGGATTGGATAGTGTAATTGAATAGCGAAGTAAAAAAAAAGTTCTATTTAAACCATCGGCAATAATGTTTCAAATTTAATTTTTTAGCAGGGTAATACTCAATGATTGACACATGCTTTTTAAAAAATTGTTTAAAAAAATGAATTTCTTTTAATATAGCCACAGACGGTGAAAGATAACATGTGCATATCCCCTTTCATGAATAAACGTGGTTTTCTAAAAAGAATCTCATTTTTTTTTTATATATATATAGAGCCATGGCTACTATCTAGATCAGGACCATATATATGAAATGAGGCGACAACTATGGCTATCCCTCATTTCAAATTATTAATAATATATAGTTATGGCTGTCTGATAAGACAACCATGATGTCTTTAAAAATTTTAATTTTTATGGTGATGGTCATCTTTTTCAGACAACCACGATTTTCCATGAAAAGAAATAATTGGTAGTTATATTAAAAAAAATCAAAAAGTAAAAATTGAAAAACAAAAAGGATTTTTGAAAAACATTCAAAATAATGACACTTGTTAGCCACGTAGGATTGACTGGCTAAACAAAATTCAATTAAATATATTAGAGCATCCTTATCAGTGAATCATGGAAGATTTTTGGAACAATAACATATGACAAATTGGAGAGAAGGTAAGAGAGGGAAGGAATTGATTCAGAGGAGGGATTTTGGAACAGTGCACGCGTCAGAGAAAAATGTTGTAAGTTTTGAGGTTGTGCGCGTTTCGCGCACAGCAATTGGTCACACGGGCGCGTGCAGTGCACGCGCTTGATAGTTATTTATTTATTTATTTATTATTATTATTATTATTATTATTATTATTATTATTATTTTTAAAAAAATCAGTTTTGCTTTTTTTTTTTCCTCTCCCTCCCCATATTCTCTTTCCTAATCACACTTACAAAAATTCCTCAAAAATCACAAAAAATAAATAAATAAATAAATAAATAAATAAAATCCATTATTATGAATGCTCTTAATTTTTTGGTTTAGGAAACTTGTTTAAATGAAGTTTTTTTCACTGATGGGCTCAATTAGGTTGACTTAGGGGTCAACTATTAAATTCTATTTGGTGCTAGCAATTCAGTTTCTAGTTTATATGCATTAGTCCTACACATACATCATGTATTCTTTTTCTCAATTAGTTTTCTTTCACTGGATTTTCTAGTGAGATTTTTTGACAAGGCATGAGTATTGATAGGATATATACCCCGATATCGACCACCTATACGTCTATGAGCTCGTTAATAGTTAGGTCAGGGTCGAGCGGTTCTGACCCCGATCTACGAGTCAAAATCAAAGGTGACGGGTCAAACCCGCCACCTTAGACCTATAAAAGGGGCTTTTGGCCCTCTAAGTTAAGGATTCACTCTCTCGGCTCTCTCTCTAAACTATATTATCTCTTCCTTCTCTCTATAGCTACATGCAAGAAGAACACCATTAATAAAGGAGAACCTTTGAGCTATATCTCTTGTTTGTTCATATATCTACATACACCCTACCATACGGGGAAATTAGTACTATCAAGTATGATATAGTAATGTAAATGAGAAATGTTGCAAAATAATTACTTAAGTGGACAAACTCCAAAATCCTGAAGATTATGCAAATTGTACCCCGAAGGCTTATGGTTGTACTATTTTTCCTTAACTAAGTTTTTCCCACAGGGTTTTTTTAAATTAAGGTTTTTAATGAGGCAACCAGTACAATATATGAGTTTCAAATATCATGTACTCTTTTCTTCAACTAGGTTTTTCCCACGTGGTTTTCCTAGTGAAGTTTTTTAATGAGGCATGAATATATTTTCTATTGTACTCTTTTCTTGTCTAGGTTTTTCCCACAAGGTTTTCCTAACAAGTTTTTAACGAGACAAGATCGTGGTCAAATAATGTCCAATGGGGAGTCAAATAATGGCGGGTTTTACCACAAAAATTGCCCATACCAATAGTTTTGTTGTTGAACTTTGGGGTCTTCGTCAAGGCCTTTGCCTCGCTAGAGATCTCGGGGTGAACAAGTTGGTAACAGAAGTGGACTCCTTAGCGGTGGTTCAAGTGCTAATTAAACAGAAGCTTTGGTTCGTCGACGGAAGCTGATACACTTATTTCAGATTGCAAGGCTCTCATGCTTCATTTCACCGTGTTTGAACTTGTCTATACTCTTCGCGAAGGAAATCAGTGTGCTGATTTTCTGGCTAATTTGGGTCAGATTTCTCCGTGGGGGACAACTGTCCTAACTCGGCCTCCGGAGGGTCTCAACCGGCTCCTTGCTTGTGATAAGAATAGCGTGGCAACTAGAAGATTTTTTTAGTTCCCCGAGGGCCTAGCCCCCTTCCCTCTACCAAAAAAAAAATGTCCAAGGGAGAGTGTTATAAATATTATACTTATTATGGACATTATTATATAGTATTGTAACGGTTGTAACAGTTATGTAATTATTTCCATTATTACTTCTGTTACGTTACCTTGTATATATATATATATATATATATATTCTTACACTAGAAAGAATGAATGAAGAGATGATTCTCCCTTTCTCCCTTATTTCTCAATTCTGATTTTACTTTTAACAATTATGACTTTTTAATTAGTTTAGTTCTAAATTCTAATTATAGGAAACTGATGAGATTTTAATTGTAATTTCTCCTAAATTTAATGCTTGGTTGAACGTAACATGCATCAATTTTTATTATTGGAATACGCTATTTTTACATATAATATTATAGCGTTTTCCATTTGAGTATAATTTATTATTGTATGATATAAAAAAATCTCTTTAACATTTGTCAAGATTAACTAGCCTTATGCGCCAAAACATATATAGATAGATGGAATTTAGTTGATAGCATGCATTACGCAGAAATTATTAAACTAGCAATTCAGTTTGTGAGTTCGTGGATCATATCAAAAATCCATTCCTTCCCAATCCCATAAAGGAACACAAACATCGTCCCAGAAATTATTCTGCAAAGATGATGAATCTTCTACAGATTCTGGGACAGCCTGCGGATGCGAGGAAGATGGCTGCGCCGCTATGGCTTCTGGTACAGTTTGCAGGTGTGGAGATGGCGGCTCTGCAGCTCGAGGAACAGCAATGGCAGCTGGGGCAGGCGGACGCCGGTCGAATCCGCGGTCAAGCCTCGCCGTCTTATAAATACGGCACAAGCTGAACTCGTGCCGTAACTGCATCAGTATTGAACATTGTTAGGATCAAACTCTTACTGTTACGTCAAACGTTATAACTAATAGCAATGACGCAACATAGTGTTTAACTTGACTTTTTCAGCATAGGGTGTTGAACTTGGCCTTTCACCCGCCTAGGCTAGCAATTCCCCTAGCCACAAGCACAAATATATTTTTTTTAGAGTAATGAGAGAAACCCAAAACTACACAAAGGTATGAATGAAATAATTCTACCCACAAGAAGATAAACTAGTCTAGGTTGCCTATAACTGACCGGTTCAAACCAAAAAGATCAATCCACCAATCAAAAGTTAGCGAAAGTCTAGGAGATAATTAAACTAGTCTGCATGAGTATTGAGATTGTTAGGATCAAATGCTTACTACTACTATACCGCAAATGTTAGAGAAAACATAACTTTGGCCCTGTTTGGTAAAATGGCTGTTAGCTGATTGTGTTAATTAGAGGGTATAAATAGTTGATAACATTAGCGGATTGTAGAAAAGTGTTTGCATGGTAAATTAGCTGTTAGCAGATAGCTGTTTGGTATAATTTATTTTCTCAAAAAGCTAATTGAAAAAGTTGCTTGAAGTATCTTTTTGAATTTTTGACTTTTGGAGTTGCAAAAAGCTAATTAATCAAATATTTATATTGATATTTTAACTAAATCAAACAATTAGTAGTGGTTAAATAAGCCAAAATTGGCCTATAGGCCAATTTTTTACCAAACAGGACCTTTATTTCCTTATACACCACTATATTTTCGAGAGGCAGAGTGTTAAACTTGGTGTTTTGAAAGTTATGGTGCTGAACTTAATTGGTGTTTCACCAGCCAACGCCAACAATCCCCCTAAGATTTGCATTAGATAAATTCTGCTCACAATGAGATAAACTAGTCTATGTTGCTCATAACTGATCGATTTAAACCAAAAAGATAAATCAATTTTCCCTATTAGTTAGCGGTTGAACTTGTAAACTTGTGATTACTAAATTAACAGTCTTACCAACTTGGTTGCAGGTTGAAGATGGAACTAAGAGAATACATACCTGTACATCAGAAATTGTAGCTGTGGGAGGAGGTTGTCCCAGAATGGCTTTGTACTCTATCATCTTCCATTCCGTCTTTCTTCCTGTGGGAGCCCTACCTCTATAGAAAATCATGGTCCTTCTGAGTCCTATTATCTCATTATTTGAATACATGAGAGTGGGGATACCAGATGCTTTCCAGTATCCTTCTGGTGTAAGCCGGTTGGGTCTTCCTCCACGGGATATATTTTCTTGCATATCAACAAAGAAAAACCACTCTTCTGGGTCATCACCCCTACAAAGCTCTCCAACCAACCCTGTTTTCATATCATATATAAATACTATTATTCAGTAAATGAACGCACAAAGTTAACCATTTTCATGATAAAGCTAAGCAAGAAATTACTAAGTACGTGCATGATAAAGCAAGAAATTACTAAGCCAATGCTTCTTTCTCTTTCTTGCAAGAAATTCAAGAAAATGCATACTTGCTAAACTATTATCGAGTCTCGTTCGGAAAGAGATAGATATGGGTATAATCTGGACTAGATGTAGGCTGGTCTAGCTAGTATGAGTAATAAACATCAAAATTTGAGCGAGATCAATTGACCAATTCAAGTAAAAAGGTGGCCCAGTCGCTGACAAGACCTAGGTAGATCTAGTAGGGATGATCATAGTTCAGTTTAAATCAAACCGTGCACCATAAAATTTAAACCGGAAGGCAAACCGCTGATTCCGGTTCTAGTTTGGTAAAACTGAGAACTAGAACCGCCGGGTTTCAACCCAAAAACCTAAAAAATAAAAATAAAAATAAAAAAGTTCAAACCATCATCACTTCAAATCAGAACTGTCAATTTTGATTTGTCATTTTCCAGAATCATGAACTGGCCGTTCAAAACCGAACCCTCTAGCTTGTTGGACCAGATTGCCTTCTTGGTTTTTGATCCCTTTTAAAATTTTTAATTGTATAGTAACTCTTGATTTTTTGGTGTACTGAGAAAATAAAAAAACTAAACCCTATAAGAAATGTTGCAAGAAATTTGTAAGCAAATGCATCTCTCATGCATTAAAAAAAATCAAGAAATTCTTGAAAGTGCTTTTTAGCAGACCTATATATTACTAAGCCTTCTAAAAAAAATATTAAACATATGTTTAATATGAACTTGACTAGGTTTAAGTCTAGTTCATCTGATCAGATCGTGATTGTCTTGTTGATTTATTATTCTTTTTTAGTTTTTCTCTTTTGAACATTTGATATTTTCAATGTTTCCATACAAAAATAATTCACTTCTAAACCCTACTACAAATATTATTTGCACACATTATTTAAAATGAATCCTAATCATAATAACAATCACCACCTTTCCCAAAGGAGAATTAAAGCATGAAGAGATCGAGGAGAAACATAAAGTAAATGATTTGCAAGAAAAAAGAAAAACACGTATACTGTGTGTGTATGTGTAATACTATACTAACGAGGTAGATCCCATGGACAATGATCATAGATATTGACGACAGGAATAACCGCATCAATGTCTTCCCTGTCGCCTTGGAGCTTATGTTTGAGATAGAAGCAAACTAATTCTTCCTCAGTGGGGAAGAATCTGAAACCCTGTAGACAATTATCCTCCATTATTATATTATTGTCTAATCTGATCTGCAACTATATTAAACATATTATATTGTTATATATTTATATAAGCTGGCCGGGAGAGAGAGAGAGAGAGAGACTCTGATGAAGGGCATCAAGACTAGAAAACCATGTAACGAAGAAAACCACTAACCCATCCCTTGGAACAAAGAAAACCGCCAACCTTTTCCAACATAGTATTGTAGTTGATGTGGATTGTCGGATTGAGATTGGTTTCCAACCCTAAATTTCAAAAAAAGTGGGAGGACCTTAATGAATCTGAAGCAATTTAATTTTACTTTCATTTTCCTGCTTTTTCGTCTTCTGATCTCCTGTTTTATTTGATGATGATGTTCAAATTGGAGTTGAAAAAAACTAAACTATGTTAAAGAATATTTGGAAGGATGAATTGATACTTTTTTGAGCAATCTCAGCCGAGTTGGTCAGTCTATTAATTTGATAATTACAAAGTTTCAAGTTCAAATCAATACATGAAAAATTAGATTTACCAACTACTACTGAGACGTACTGTTAAGAGTTACCTAAGGAAAAATCTATAAGATATTCAATGAAATTTAAGACTGCTCCATACCCAAAGTCAAGGATCAAATCCTTGAAGTTTGCTTAAGGATGTATGAGTACATTTCACTCAACCACAGTAAACGATCCGTTACTTTTTGTTGCTAACTCCATAGTTATTCTTGTAATATATATCATTATTTTATTTCTATTTGTTGGGTGAAGATAGGAATGATCAAATTTATAATCTTATTGCTCGAAATTTGGAGATAGGTTGCAATGCATGTATAAGAAAATAAAATTATACATTTGATATTAGTTATAATATTTGACATTGTGGTAATTGATAAATATTCTATCATGGCCTATACATATATAGTTTGCATGCATGAGCAAGTAATAAAAGAAAAAAAAAATGATTCAAATTATATAATATGAACAATATGTTAATACAATTTGCACATTATCCTAAAAGTGTATGCACTGCATATGTAATATGTTGGGTTAGTTGAAGCTTAAAGGGTTGAGTTCAGTATCTTAATTACTGCTGAAAGTTGACATCAACTGTTATGTAAGTATAAAGAAATAAAATTATACATTCGCTAATAGCTACTCCGTATAATTTTTAGCGTAGTGATAAATGTTTGATCTTGAAAATATGTATTATTATTATTATACGTATATATGTGCTAAAACATATTTGTCTATATGACTAAAATATATAATATAAATCAGCTAATAAGAAATAGGTTGGATTGTATTGTATTATTGCATCTGTATGCACTTAATATATACAAATATATGACTTCATTGCGTGTAAACTCATCGTCACGAAGAGTCATCTTTTTGTACAGGGAAAACATGGAAAAAAAAAACATATGAAGTCCTAGAGTCAACAGTCAACCGTGGTCTTCTAAATAATTAGGAGATTATTTTGTCCTTGAAATATTTTGTCTTTGAAATATTTGTTTACGTGCAAATAATTAGAAGATTATTTTGTCATTGAAATATTTATTTTTTTCCCAACAGCCAATATCTCCCAATCAACATATGGTGTTAACTATTATAGAAATATAAGAAAATAAAGTTATAATTTATATCGTAGTAAATATTTAATTTTAATAATTGATATCACAATTTAAAACTCTGCTAATTTAAAATAAAATTATCTCTTTGCTACTAGTTTAATCCCAAGACAAAAACCAACGTTAATTATGTTTTTCAAAGGTTCACATGTCTAATGTGGAAAGTTACAGAGGAATTATGTCTTGTGTGCCGTTGCCACTTTTTTGGTGTGAATATTCTCTTTTTTCCACATATTCTTCCGAGCCGCAGTTGAATAGTTGATGTATTTTAAGAAGATTTGTGTGTCATTGTTATAATGTTACGTTAATAATGTTTGGAACATGTTTGGAAAATGTTTGGCAAAATATAATCAAACCAAAATGGCGGCATTAATGTTCAAATGCATTATAGTATCTTAAATCTTGATATAATTAGAGATGACAATTTCAATACGCCCACAAATATCTTCTCGAATCCATTTCGTATGAGTCTGGTTTTTCTGGGTGAAAATTGGGTTAATTATATTTTGATTCAAATGACGTACTTACCGTTAATACATTATATACATTTAATTAATAAATTAATTATGTATTGTAAATAAAATTAAGGTACATAATATATTAATTGCAACCTCCAAATATATAATAGAATCAGTAGCATTTAGAAAAAAATGTACATACATACAAAATCTAGTATGCACATAGTGAGAATCTTAATTAGTCTATAATATAACAATGACAAGATTTGAGCTTTACGCAACACCTTGGACCTTAGTTACGTCACCTTAAATCACCTTTAGAAATTGTATATGGAATATTGAATGATATGGCATTAGGGATGGAAAAGAACCGATTTTAGAAAATTAGGTATGAGCCTGTTATAAAAAAATTAAGATCTGAATTTTTTAAAGAAATTTAAAGTATGTGATTGGATCTTAGTTTGTATGCAGGTTCTTTATCAGGCTTAGCTTAAATCTGAACTTATAATTAATCTGTACTGACCTGAAATCTTTTTTAAAAGCCTATTTAATATGTAGGTCATTAAAAAGGTTTCAAAGTAATTCCGGTGAGTCTATTTAAAATCTACATGTTAAGTCTTTTTAAAAAATAAAAACTTTAACATGCTCATTAACTTGTTTAAGAAGAAATTCAATTGTATTATTGTTTGTCATTCTATATAATCCAATAAATAGTTAACAATCAACTCACATAATTAAATCGCGACACTTCATTAAATATTATAACAATAAGAACAATTAATAAATAATTAAACAATAAGAACACTTATAACAGGATTACCAACAATGTTTATTGTTACATTAGAATTTAAAATGGGATTTTAGAAGTGGAGAGGTAGAGTTTTGTAATTGTACATACTTGGAGTTATATTGTAAATATAAAACTATATTAGGTAAAAAAAAAAAAATAGAATATATTCATAATATTTAAAATAAATAATTAACAATCAACTCACATAATTAAGGCTTCGAACTCCCTGCTAAATTGTGTCTTCTTAACTCTTTTGTCAAAGTCTTCAGTAGAAATTATGTCTCATATTCGCTTAACTCTTCCCTACGGTTAATACATTGGTCAAATTATCTCTTCTGGATTAAAATCTACTAATAACTTTTTAGCCAAATTACTTCTTGTGTTTTGATGTGTTAAGAATAATTGTTTATAATTTTGATTATGCTATCTAAATGTATTTAAATTGTCTCCCATCAGTACTTATAAAAGCTCAACAGCTACTGTCTCCGGATAAAAGAAATGAATTATAGCCTCAAAAGGAGATTATATAAGAGCATCCACAATAGTGGAGTTATTTTGCTGTTTTTAAGGAGTTTTTGTAAGTATGATTAGGAAAGAGAAAATCGGAGGGGAGAGAAAAAAATACTGATTTTTTTAAAATAATAATAATAATAATAATATTCAAAGGATAGGTTAGGTGCGCGGACAGGCGCGCCTAACGTGCAGTGCACGCGCCCGGCGTGGCAGTTGCTGTGCGCACACCAACTTCTCTCTTTTCATTTATTTCTCTTCCTTAGGAAGAGAAATAACTCAGCCCCTTGTAGAAGGGTCTCAACCCCTCTCTCTCTGCCAACTTGACATTTTAACCTCAAAAGATGTGAAATAATCCTTTATTTTTTTCTGATAATGTTGCTCTAAGAAAAGTGTTTGTGTTCACTAAGTTATAAAAAGAGCTTTTTAACACATATTTCAAAGTCTGATAGAGTAGGCCTTTGTCCAAGGTTCATGATTGTGAATTTTTTCTTTGCCTCTTTATAATTATAATTTAATTTATAACGTAGATTGATTTGTGATTCATATCAAAATTTTAAATCTATTTTTATTTGGTAATTAATTAATTAATTTATTATTATTATTATTATTATTATTATTATTATTATTGTTGTTGTTGTTGTTTTTGTTGTTATTGTTGTTGTTGTGACATCTGGTGAAATTAACTCTTAAATAATTATATATCGATTTAAATATTCTTAATATATTACAACAATTTCATTCCGTGCATCGCACGGGTAAAAATACTAGTATTTATAATATGTTATTTTATGAGCTTTATGATGAGTTATTTATGGTAAACATTATTTATCTTGATTAATTAATTTATATATAAAATATATTTTGTGATATAGAATATGAAAATGTTTTAAAAGATAATTTACTTTCTAATCAATATAGTATAAGTTTGTATTATGAATATCCAAATTAATTTAGAAAAACTTGAAATCAATCTAACTAAAGAAAAAATATTTATAAATAACATATCAATGAAGAAGATGTGTGATTTATAATGCAATTCCTATTAGAATCATTTTATCCAATTAATTATGTTTCATATTTTATTGTGAATATTTTTATCGCATTTTGAGCTGTTTTGATTTCTTGTCGTGTGTCATTGAGATTTTTAGCTTCATCCTGTTTGTAATTTTTTTAAATAAATTTTATTAATAATTAATTTATTATTTAGTCTGATAATAATTTAATTGTTTGTAAACTTATTTGATTCTAACATTTTTTGTTCATTTTTATAAATTATACCGTAATTGTTTTTACCTTCAATATTTCAATATATTATTTAATAAAAGCATTTTTCTACTAAAAGAATTCATTTCATTTGAAAGCTTATGCCGTAAACAATGGAGGATGGATTATATATGTTGTGCGGCTTAACTTTGGTGGATGGAAAAGCATTTTAATTTTGCGTTAAAATTTATGTTTAGGCCCTTTGTGAGTGGCAATTCAACGCGCTTGTGCTTTGAAATTTGAAACAAGTTTTGTTGTACATCCCCTTTTAGACGGCAATTTATATCATGCACAAGTACACGCATTGCATTGTGCGCCCGTGCATCCGAATGTAAAACGACGTCGTTTCAGATTATTTTAATTTTTTTTGAAATTTTTGCTTTCCTGTGTTGGCGGTTAATTTTCTTTAAAAAAAAAAATCTTATGTTAAAAAATGTACATAATTTTATACAAAAATACACAATTGTATACATGAATGTACATAATTATATAACAAAATATACATACTTTTTTTAAAATTTTCTGATTCGGATGTACATATGTGTATAAAAAATATGTACATAATTGTATAAAAAATACACATAATTGTATAAACAAATACACATAATCACGTCAACTCACTACCGCACCTCCCAAAACGACGTCGTTTTGGGAGGCGCGGAACACACAGTGCTATGTGCACTGTAGTTCAAGGTATAACGATTGCTTTTAGACGTTAATCGGATTATATTTTTCTTTATATGATTGTATAATGCATTGTATCTGAAGAAAATGTGGTCATAGTGAGGAGTTTGATAGGGGTCAAGGCCACTAAGATGTGAGAGTAGGTGCAGAAACTATGGTCACTGTGAATGGAGACAAATAATGACGTTAACACCACCGATCAAAAACTATACATAATATATCTAAAGACACACACATCTATTTCTGTATATTGCATATATAGAAATAAATAGATAAAGACATGTCGACAGAGATAATACTCAACTAATAAACAAATATAATTTCATAGAGATAGCACACACATATATACATGAAACGAGTTTACATACCGTATTTTGAAATATTAGCGCTTAGAGACCTTCGCCTTGAAGCCATTTATCAGTACGATTCTTTGCCCAAGTGAGAATTTTAATTTCTTCTCTAATATTATTTACTTTCCTAGTGACTAGGGTTAAATAATGCAGGGAGAGAGAAAGGGATAGCGCCATTAAAAAAAACAAAAAAACAAAAAAACAAAAAAAAAAAACAAACAAAAAAAAGGATAGCGCGAAGGGTTTTTTTTTTTTTTTTTTTTTTTTTTTTTTTGAGAGAGAGAGAGAGAGAGGAGGAAGTATAATAATAAAAAAAAAATATGAATTTTAATATGTATTTGAGACAAGTTATTAAATTATATTATTCTTCCAGAAGGTTGAATCCCTAACCCGGCCCGACAAAGTATCTCGGAGGATGTAAATCATGGTAACTTAACTGAACCACAGAGGCTAGATCTTTGCTTACTGCGCACAAGGAGTCCACCCTCACTTTGAGAGTTTGCTCCCACACTATCGATGGTGAGACTCGATCCTTAGTCATTCTTCCCAAACTTCACCCGACCAGTTGAGCTGCTCATGCGGGCTATTAAATTACATTATTGACCTTATTCTTAACGGTAGATTAATGAAAATTTTAACGGAGGACCAATAGTTGCAATCAAATTAAAGTCGATGATGTAATATGGCAAAATTAAAAGAGAGGAACTAAATGTGGCAATGTCACAATAGTCGAGGACAAAAAATGGAATTTACTCTTATGCATAATTAAGCTGAGTATAATTTATTGTTATATGATGTTATAAAAAAAAAAAAAAAAAAGACTTTCTTCATCTTCATTGGCTTTGTGATCTGGGTACTTGAACATCGCGTAAACAAAGAGTTTCCAGGTCCTCGTCACAAGCAAGTTGGGGTGATCTTCTGGTTCTCCTTCTCCACTCTAGTGTATCTTTGAATTCGAGCAAATAATTATATTGCCCAATTACTCATGCGATGCACTGATAAATTTTTTATTATATATTACCAATTAATTAGATATTAATTAATTTTAATATAACATTTTGTTACTAAAACTTTATTAATTCTTTTACCAATAAATTAATTAATTAATATTAAAAAAAGTTTGAGCGAAAAAGCTGAAGATGGAGATTTTACTTTTATTAATAAATATAGATTAATTAATATTCATATTAGTTTGGGCGCGAGAAAAGTTTAAAAAAAAGATTTTATTTTTATTAATACTATAGATATAGATTACATGATAAGTACTTTAGAGTGTAATTTTATTTCCTAACATAATATTAGACAACTTACTAAATGTAAAATGGTATCTAAGTATCTTTGTCTTAAAATATAGTATTAAGCTGCTAATTAACTAAAATGTAAAATGGTAACTTCTCAAGTTTTAGTATGTAGTTTTAACTATATAATGTACAACTTAATTCACCCTCTAGTAAACCATAAACCCTTAACCCTATATATCTTTGTTCAAAATCCATACAAATTCCAATGGCAAACCAGAGGGCGACATGGACATGGGATGAAGAGAGGATCTTTGAGAGTGCTCTATTAACCTATGTAGAAGGAACACCTAAAAGATGGAAAAAGATTGCGAAGTTAATTTCTGGAAAATCAGCCAAGGATGTTGAAGAACATTATCCCATTTTGTTGGCCAAAATAGAAGCCATGGAAAGTAACATTACTCAGTTGCAAACCAACACAAATGATGCTTCGTCTTCGCAGCGTAGAGAAGAGAAGGAAGTGGGCTCAGTTTGGGATTTGGATGAATTGGTTTCATGCTCGGAAGTATATCATGCTTTAAATAAATATAATTAATACTCCCTAAGAATATAGTGTTACACTATTTTTCTAGTTTATTTACATTAGTCCTACGCTTTATAACTTTTTAGTTAGTTTAGTTCGTTCTAATTATAGGAAAGTGATGAGAGTTTATTTGTAATTTTTGTTATATTTAATGCATGGTTGGACATGCATCGGTTTTTATTATTCGAATACAATAAAATAGTTAATTTATTAGTTAATTTTGTTTTATTTTATCACTATTAGTTGTTTGAATTGGTTAAACAATCAATATGAGTGCTTGAAGAAGATGTGTGATTTATTAACTTTTCATACCCTAATTATGGCATTGTTTGATAAATGATTGTTAGCTGATATTTGTTAGCTAATTGGGTTAGATGCTATAAAAAGTTAATAAAATCTCTGAGATGGCTGGCATCCAAATTACGTCCAATTTTGGAAAGTATTTGGTGTTCCTTCCTTCCATGGCGAGGTGAATACGGAAGCCTTTTACCCCATGATTGACCGCATAAATTTACTATTGGGGGCCAGATTATGGATGCAAACATATAATTAAACGAGTAGAATTTGAAAGTCTACATTGTAAATTTTTTTTTTTTAAATTCTTTATGTCATACCGAATACCGTTCTACTTCAATAAAAATGGTAGAAATATTCTTTAGTTTTAAAAATTATTTAAGTAATTAATTAAGTATGCATTATTTTTGGAATATAATAATATGTTATAGTTTAACTTAACTTTGATAGGTCTAGAGATGAGTAATTGTGGCACAAGGAAACTCAATTGATATGAATAATCCTAATGCATACAATTTTTGTAAGAAAATAGCCCTATATCTCATATTAGTTATCATATCTCACTCATTATGTATTTATGTCGTGAAAATGATAATCTCTTTTATTCACTAACGGTTTATAGCTGACAGGATGCTTGAAGTAAGGAATATGGATTTCACATCTAACCAATAACATCAAACTCATTAAGGTTGCAGGCAAGAGCTTAATTGGAGTTAAACAAGACCATTTTATAGCTTGGCTTGGCATAGCTCAACTAATATTTAATCCAGTATATATTGATAAATGTAATAACGATGAACTAAAGAAATTGAAAATCAAAAATTAATTTTTGGGGTGTGAATTGGGCCAAGATTTTTATTGTTTGATCAATCGCAATTAATTCATATTTTAAGTGGTCATTAATAAAGGTAATATTTTAAATATTTTTAATGTTTTGGATTATGGGTTGAATCAATATTTTTACTATTTGGTCATGTCCAAGCACCTGTATTTTATCTAGACTAACCCAATTAAGTTTAAATATGGACAAATGGCGAGTCAACTTTCCCATTCGATGCCACTCAAAGGGAGTGCGTGAAAGAACTAAGCATGATATAAGAATTTTCAAAAAATGTTTTCCAAGTAAAAATCTAGCTAGGAAGACATTTTACATTAAATTAAATAATTTTTCTTTGACAGAAATGAGTATTATCGGTTTATATTTAAATTTGAAAAAAAATTTATATAAATAAAAAAAAGGGAAAATGACACTTTTTCCCCCTGAGTTATATACCTATAGTATTTTTTCCCCCTAAATTATTGAAGTGGCTGTTTTTTCTCCTGAAATGTTAAATGGACATATTTACCCTTAAACTAAATATTTAATTTATTTTTTTTCTCCAACAAATTATGACCATAATTTGGTTCAAACTAAACAAACACTATAGCAACCAAACAGAAATATTCCAATTACAATTTAGAATCGAAATTCGATATTTAGAGTTTATTAAAATCGTGAACCGGAACGGACGGTTAATGTTCCGAATTGAAAAAATAAAATACATTTATTGTTGAATTTAGACTATTTTAAAATAAAAAATAAAATTTTAAAATAAAGACGGTTCAAAATCGCGAATCAGATCCGGAACCGCCGGTTCACGGTTCAAGATTCAATTTTTTTGATAGATAATTTTAATAAATTGACATTTAAATATTGGGTTCTAGATCTGAATTATAACCGTAAACTATTAATTCGATTGCTTTAGAATCCAGTTCAATTCAAATCGAACCGTGGTCATCCCTACGTATACGCAATAATTTGTTGGAGTAGTAAAATAAATAAAATGTTTACTTTAAGGGTATAAATGTCAATTTAATATATCAGGGGGAAAAAAGCACCACTTTTAGAATAATTGAGGGGGCTAATGTGCTTACCTAAATAATTGAGGGGGAAAAAGTGCTATAAGTATATAACTCAGGGGTAAAAAGTGTCATTTTCCCTAAAAAAAAAAAAGGCTTTCTTAATCTTCATTGGCTTTGTGATCAGGGTACTTGAACATCGCGTAAACAAAGAGTTTAAAGGTCCTCGTCACAAGCAAGTTGGAACGATCTTCTGGTTCTCCTTCTCCACTCTAGTGTATGCTTAAATTCGAACAAATAATTATCCAATTACCCGTGTGATGCACGGGCAATACTCGTGCGTTGCACAGATAAATTTTTTTATTATATTTTACCAATTAATTAGATATTAGTTAATTTTAATATAACATTTTGTTACCAATAAAGCTTTATTAATACTTTTCCAAATAAATTAATTATTTAATATTAAGAAAAATTTGAGCGAACAAACTGAATAGAAAGATTTTACTTTTATTAATAAATAAATATAGATTAATTAATATTCATATTAGTTTGGGCAGAAAAAGTTAAACGAGTAAAGATTTTATTTTTATTAATAGTATAGATATAGATTACATGTTAAGTTTAGAGTCTAATTTTATTTCTTAATATAATATTAGACAACTTACTAAATGTAAAATGGTATCTTGTCTTAAAAATATAGTATTAAGCTTCTAATTAACTAAAACGTAAAATGGTAACTTCCCAAGTTTTAGTATGTAGTTTTAACTATATAATGTACAACTTAATTCACCCTTTTGTAAACCATAAATAAATAAACACTAAACCTTATACCTTTGTTCAAAATCAATAGAAATTCCATGGCAAACCAGAGGGCGACATGGACATGGGATGAAGAGAGGATCTTTGAGAGTGCTCTATTAACCTATGTAGAAGGAACACCTAAAAGATGGAAAAAGATTGCGAAGTTAATTTCTGGAAAATCAGCCAAGGATGTTGAAGAACATTATCCCATTTTGTTGGCCAAAATAGAAGCCATGGAAAGTAACATTACTCAGTTGCAAACCAACACAAATGATGCTTCGTCTTCGCAGCGTAGAGAAGAGAAGGAAGTGGGCTCAGTTTGGGATTTGGATGAATTGGTTTCATGCTCGGAAGTATATCATGCTTTAAATAAATATAATTAATACTCCCTAAGAATATAGTGTTACACTATTTTTCTAGTTTATTTACATTAGTCCTACGCTTTATAACTTTTTAGTTAGTTTAGTTCGTTCTAATTATAGGAAAGTGATGAGAGTTTATTTGTAATTTTTGTTATATTTAATGCATGGTTGGACATGCATCGGTTTTTATTATTCGAATACAATAAAATAGTTAGTTTATTAGTCAATTTTAAATTATTCTTCCACATTTGGGAGGTTACTCCCACACTGCTGCTGGTAAGACTCAATCCTGGTCATCCTTCCAAAGTTTCACCTCTATAACCAGTTGAGCTACCCATGCGGACGTCAATTTTAATTTATTTTATCACTATTAGTTGTTTAATTTGACTTGGTTAAACAATATAATCAATATGAGTGTTTGAAGAAGATGTGTGATTTACTAACTTTTCATACCCTAATTATGGCATTGTTTGATAAATAATTGTTAGCTGATAGTTGTTAGCTAATTGGGTTAGATGCTATGAAAAGTTAATAAAATCTCTAAGATGGCTGACATTCAAATTACGTCCAATCTTGGAAAATATTTGGGTGTTCCTTCCTTTCCAGGCGAGGTGAATACGGAAGCCTTTTACCCCATGATTGACCGCATAAATTTACTATTGGGGACCAGATTATGGATGCAAACATTTAATTAAACGAGTAGAATTTGAAAGTCTACATAGTAAAACTTTGTTTTTTAAATTCTTTATGCCATATTGAGTACCGTTCTACTTCAATAAAAACGGTAGAAATATTCTTTAGTTTTAAAAATTATTTAAGTAATTAACCAAGTATGCATTATTTTTAGAATATAATAATATGTTATAGTTTAACTTAACTTTGATCTTTCTAGAATAGAGATGAGTAATTGTGGCACAAGGAAACTCAATTGATTAATATTATTTACTTTCCTAGTGACTAGGGTTAAATAATGCAGGGAGAGAGAAAGGGATAGCGCCATTAAAAAAAAACAAAAAAAAAACAAAAAAACAAAAAACAAAAAACAAAAAAAAAAAGGATAGCGCGAAGGTTTTTTTTTTTTTTTTTTTTTTTTTTTGAGAGAGAGAGAGAGAGAGAGGAGGAAGTATAATAATAATAAAAAAAAAATATGAATTTTAATATGTATTTGAGACAAGTTATTAAATTATATTATTCTTCCAGAAGGTTGAATCCCTAACCCGGCCCGACAAAGTATCTCGGAGGATGTAAATCATGGTAACTTAACTGAACCACAGAGGCTAGATCTTTGCTTACTGCGCACAAGGAGTCCACCCTCACTTTGAGAGTTTGCTCCCACACTATCGATGGTGAGACTCGATCCTTAGTCATTCTTCCCAAACTTCACCCGACCAGTTGAGCTGCTCATGCGGGCTATTAAATTACATTATTGACCTTATTCTTAACGGTAGATTAACGAAAATTTTAACGGAGGGCCAATAGTTGCAATCAAATTAAAGTCGATGATGTAATATGGCAAAATTAAAAGAGAGGAACTAAATGTGGCAATGTCACAATAGTCGAGGACAAAAAATGGAATTTACTCTTATGCATAATTAAGCTGAGTATAATTTATTGTTATATGATGTTATAAAAAAAAAAAAAAAAGACTTTCTTCATCTTCATTGGCTTTGTGATCTGGGTACTTGAACATCGCGTAAACAAAGAGTTTCCAGGTCCTCGTCACAAGCAAGTTGGGGTGATCTTCTGGTTCTCCTTCTCCACTCTAGTGTATCTTTGAATTCGAGCAAATAATTATATTGCCCAATTACTCATGCGATGCACTGATAAATTTTTTATTATATATTACCAATTAATTAGATATTAATTAATTTTAATATAACATTTTGTTACTAAAACTTTATTAATTCTTTTACCAATAAATTAATTAATTAATATTAAAAAAAGTTTGAGCGAAAAAGCTGAAGATGGAGATTTTACTTTTATTAATAAATATAGATTAATTAATATTCATATTAGTTTGGGCGCGAGAAAAGTTTAAAAAAAAGATTTTATTTTTATTAATACTATAGATATAGATTACATGATAAGTACTTTAGAGTGTAATTTTATTTCCTAACATAATATTAGACAACTTACTAAATGTAAAATGGTATCTAAGTATCTTTGTCTTAAAATATAGTATTAAGCTGCTAATTAACTAAAACGTAAAATGGTAACTTCTCAAGTTTTAGTATGTAGTTTTAACTATATAATGTACAACTTAATTCACCCTCTAGTAAACCATAAACCCTTAACCCTATATATCTTTGTTCAAAATCCATACAAATTCCAATGGCAAACCAGAGGGCGACATGGACATGGGATGAAGAGAGGATCTTTGAGAGTGCTCTATTAACCTATGTAGAAGGAACACCTAAAAGATGGAAAAAGATTGCGAAGTTAATTTCTGGAAAATCAGCCAAGGATGTTGAAGAACATTATCCCATTTTGTTGGCCAAAATAGAAGCCATGGAAAGTAACATTACTCAGTTGCAAACCAACACAAATGATGCTTCGTCTTCGCAGCGTAGAGAAGAGAAGGAAGTGGGCTCAGTTTGGGATTTGGATGAATTGGTTTCATGCTCGGAAGTATATCATGCTTTAAATAAATATAATTAATACTCCCTAAGAATATAGTGTTACACTATTTTTCTAGTTTATTTACATTAGTCCTACGCTTTATAACTTTTTAGTTAGTTTAGTTCGTTCTAATTATAGGAAAGTGATGAGAGTTTATTTGTAATTTTTGTTATATTTAATGCATGGTTGGACATGCATCGGTTTTTATTATTCGAATACAATAAAATAGTTAGTTTATTAGTCAATTTTGATTTATTTTATCACTATTATATTAGTTGTTTGACTTGGTTAAACAATCAATATGAGTGTTTGAAGAAGATGTGTGATTTAATAACTTTTCATACCCTCTAATTATGACATTGTTTGATAAATGATTGTTAGCTGATATTTGTTAGCTAATTGGGTTAGATGCTATAAAAAGTTAATAAAATCTCTGAGATGGCTGGCATCCAAATTACATCCAATTTTGGAAAGTATTTGGGTGTTCCTTCCTTCCATGGCGAGGTGAATACGGAAGCGTTTTACCCCATGATTGACCGCATAAATTTACTATTGGGGGCCAGATTATGGATGCAATCATATAATTAAACGAGTAGAATTTGAAAGTCTACATAGTAATTTTTTTTTTTAAATTCTTTATGCCATACCGAATACCGTTCTACTTCAATAAAAATGGTAGAAATATTCTTTAGTTTTAAAAATTATTTAAGTAATTAATTAAGTATGCATTATTTTTGGAATATAATAATATGTTATAGTTTAACTTAACTTTGATAGGTCTAGAGATGAGTAATTGTGGCACAAGGAAACTCAATTGATATGAATAATCCTAATGCATACAATTTTTGTAAGAAAATAGCCTTATATCTCATATTAGTTATCATATCTCACTCATTATGTATTTATGTCGTGAAAATGATAATCTCTTTTATTCACTAACGGTTTATAGCTGACAGGATGCTTGAAGTAAGGAATATAGATCTCACATCTAACCAATAACATCAAACTCATTAAGGTTGCAGGCAAGAGCTTAATTGGAGTTAAACAAGACCATTTTATAGCTTGGCTTGGCATAGCTCAACAAATATTTAATCCAGTATATATTGATAAATGTAATAACGATGAACTAAAGAAATTGAAAATCAAAAATTAATTTTTGGGGTGTGAATTGGACCAAGATTTTTATTGTTTGATCATTCGCAATTAATTTATATTTTAAGTGGTCATTAATAAAGGTAATATTTTAAATATTTTTAATGTTTTGGATTATGGGTTGAATCAATATTTTTACTATTTGGTCATATCCAAGCACCTGTATTTTAACTAGACTAACCCAATTTAAGTTTAAATCTGGACAAATGGCGAGTCAACTTTCCCATTTGATACCACTCAAAGGGAGTGCATGAAAGAACTAAGCATGATATAAGAATTTTCAAAAATGTTTTCCAAGTAAAAATCTAGCTAGGAAGACATTTTACATTAAAGGAATAAGATTCAAATTGGCCACTGAACGTAACCTGAAAATGCAATTAGGCCTCTGAACGAAAAAAAAAAAAAAAAGTGCAATTAGGCCACTGAACGAAAAAAAAAAAAAAAAAAAAAAAAGTGCAATTAGGCCACTGAACTCTACAAACGTATGCAATTTCACCGGATAGAAGGTTACCATAAATTTTAGTAGGTTACCTACTTATGTGGCAGCTGAGTTGGCATTTTTAATAATTTTTAATAATTAATGATAATAAATTAAAAAAATTGAAAAAAAAAATAAAGTCATTTTTATTATTTTTTATTTTTTAATAAAAATTTATTGTTAAAAATTATTTAAAATTTATTAAAAATGCAGCTGCCACGTAAGCAGGTAACCTGCTAAAATTGAGAGTAACCTGCTATCAGGTGAAATTGCACATTTTTGGAGTGTTCAGTGGCCTAATTGTACTTTTTTTTCGTTCAGTGGCCTAATTGCACTTTTTTTTTTTTCGTTCAGTGGCCTAATTGCATTTTCAGGTTACGTTCAGTGGCCAATTTGAACCTTATTCCTACATTAAAAAATATAATTTTTCTTTGACAGAAATGAGTATTATCGGTTTATAGTTAAATATTAAAAAATTTAAAAGAAAAAAAAAAGGCTTTCTTAATCTTCATTGGCTTTGTGATCAGGGTACTTGAACATCGCGTAAACAAAGAGTTTCAAGGTCCTAGTTACAAGCAAGTTGAGATGATCTTCTGGTTCTCCTTCTCCACTCTAGTATGTGCTTAAATTCGAACAAATAATTATCCAATTACCCGTGTGATGCACGTGCAATGCTCGTGCGATGCATAGATAATTTTTTTTTATTATATTTTACCAATTAATTAGATATTAGTTAATTTTAATATAACATTTTGTTACCAATAAAGCTTTATTAATTCTTTTATCAATAAATTAATTAATTAATATTAAGAAAAGTTTGAGCGAAAAAACTGAAGAGGAAGATTTTACTTTTATTAATAAATATAGATTAATTAATATTCATATTAGTTTGGGCAGAAAAAGTTAAAAAAGAAAAGATTTACTTTTATTAATAGTATAGATATAGATTACATGTTAAGTACTTTAGAGTGTAATTTTATTTCTTAATATAATATTAGACAACTTACTAAATGTGAAATGGTATCTTGTCTTAAAAATATAGTATTAAGCTTCTAATTAACTAAAACGTAAAATGGTAACTTCCCAAGTTTTAGTATGTAGTTTTAACTATATAATGTACAACTTAATTCACCCTTTTGTAAACCATAAATAAATAAACACTAAACCTTTTACCTTTGTTCAAAATCAATAGAAATTCCATGGCAAACCAGAGGGCGACATGGACATGGGATGAAGAGAGGATCTTTGAGAGTGCTCTATTAACCTATGTAGAAGGAACACCTAAAAGATGGAAAAAGATTGCGAAGTTAATTTCTGGAAAATCAGCCAAGGATGTTGAAGAACATTATCCCATTTTGTTGGCCAAAATAGAAGCCATGGAAAGTAACATTACTCAGTTGCAAACCAACACAAATGATGCTTCGTCTTCGCAGCGTAGAGAAGAGAAGGAAGTGGGCTCAGTTTGGGATTTGGATGAATTGGTTTCATGCTCGGAAGTATATCATGCTTTAAATAAATATAATTAATACTCCCTAAGAATATAGTGTTACACTATTTTTCTAGTTTATTTACATAAGTCCTACGCTTTATAACTTTTTAGTTAGTTTAGTTCGTTCTAATTATAGGAAAGTGATGAGAGTTTATTTGTAATTTTTGTTATATTTAATGCATGGTTGGACATGCATCGGTTTTTATTATTCGAATACAATAAAATAGTTAGTTTATTAGTTAATTTTGTTTTATTTTATCACTATTAGTTGTTTGAATTGGTTAAACAATCAATATGAGTGCTTGAAGAAGATGTGTGATTTATTAACTTTTCATACCCTAATTATGGCATTGTTTGATAAATGATTGTTAGCTGATATTTGTTAGCTAATTGGGTTAGATGCTATAAAAAGTTAATAAAATCTCTGAGATGGCTGGCATCCAAATTACGTCCAATTTTGGAAAGTATTTGGTGTTCCTTCCTTCCATGGCGAGGTGAATACGGAAGCCTTTTACCCCATGATTGACCGCATAAATTTACTATAGGGGGCCAGATTATGGATGCAAACATATAATTAAACGAGTAGAATTTGAAAGTCTACATAGTAAATTTTTTTTTTTAAAATTCTTTATGTCATACCGAATACCGTTCTACTTCAATAAAAATGGTAGAAATATTCTTTAGTTTTAAAAATTATTTAAGTAATTAATTAAGTATGCATTATTTTTGGAATATAATAATATGTTATAGTTTAACTTAACTTTGATAGGTCTAGAGATGAGTAATTGTGGCACAAGGAAACTCAATTGATATGAATAATCCTAATGCATACAATTTTTGTAAGAAAATAGCCCTATATCTCATATTGGTTATCATATCTAACTCATTATGTATTTATGTCGTGAAAATGATAATCTCTTTTATTCACTAACGGTTTATAGCTGACAGGATGCTTGAAGTAAGGAATATGGATCTCACATCTAACCAATAACATCAAACTCATTAAGGTTGCAGGCAAGAGCTTAATTGGAGTTAAACAAGACCATTTTATAGCTTGGCTTGGCATAGCTCAACTAATATTTAATCCAGTATATATTGATAAATGTAATAACGATGAACTAAAGAAATTGAAAATCAAAAATTAATTTTTGGGGTGTGAATTGGGCCAAGAGTTTTATTGTTTGATCAATCGCAATTAATTCATATTTTAAGTGGTCATTAATAAAGGTAATATTTTAAATATTTTTAATGTTTTGGATTATGGGTTGAATCAATATTTTTACTATTTGGTCATGTCCAAGCACCTGTATTTTATCTAGACTAACCCAATTAAGTTTAAATATGGACAAATGGCGAGTCAACTTTCCCATTCGATGCCACTCAAAGGGAGTGCGTGAAAGAACTAAGCATGATATAAGAATTTTCAAAAAATGTTTTCCAAGTAAAAATCTAGCTAGGAAGACATTTTACATTAAATTAAATAATTTTTCTTTGACAGAAATGAGTATTATCGGTTTATAGTTAAATTTGAAAAAAAATTTATATAAATAAAAAAAAAAGGGAAAATGACACTTTTTCCCCCTGAGTTATATACCTATAGTATTTTTTCCCCCTAAATTATTGAAGTGGCTGTTTTTTCTCCTGAAATGTTAAATGGACATATTTACCCTTAAACTAAATATTTAATTTATTTTTTTTCTCCAACAAATTATGACCATAATTTGGTTCAAACTAAACAAACACTATAGCAACCAAACAGAAATATTCCAATTACAATTTAGAATCGAAATTCGATATTTAGAGTTTATTAAAATCGTGAACCGGAACGGACGGTTAATGTTCCGAACTGAAAAAATAAAATACATTTATTGTTGAATTTAGACTATTTTAAAATAAAAAATAAAATTTTAAAATAAAGACGGTTCAAAATCGCGAATCAGATCCGGAACCGCCGGTTCACGGTTCAAGATTCAATTTTTTTGATAGATAATTTTAATAAATTGACATTTAAATATTGGGTTCTAGATCTGAATTATAACCGTAAACTATTAATTCGATTGCTTTAGAATCCAGTTCAATTCAAATCGAACCGTGGTCATCCCTACGTATACGCAATAATTTGTTGGAGTAGTAAAATAAATAAAATGTTTACTTTAAGGGTATAAATGTCAATTTAATATATCAGGGGGGAAAAAAGCACCACTTTTAGAATAATTGAGGGGGCTAATGTGCTTACCTAAATAATTGAGGGGGAAAAAGTGCTATAAGTATATAACTCAGGGGTAAAAAGTGTCATTTTCCCTAAAAAAAAAAAAAAGGCTTTCTTAATCTTCATTGGCTTTGTGATCAGGGTACTTGAACATCGCGTAAACAAAGAGTTTAAAGGTCCTCGTCACAAGCAAGTTGGAATGATCTTCTGGTTCTCCTTCTCCACTCTAGTGTATGCTTAAATTCGAACAAATAATTATCCAATTACCCGTGTGATGCACGGGCAATACTCGTGCGTTGCACAGATAAATTTTTTTATTATATTTCACCAATTAATTAGATATTAGTTAATTTTAATATAACATTTTGTTACCAATAAAGCTTTATTAATACTTTTCCAAATAAATTAATTATTTAATATTAAGAAAAATTTGAGCGAACAAACTGAATAGAAAGATTTTACTTTTATTAATAAATAAATAAAGATTAATTAATATTCATATTAGTTTGGGCAGAAAAAGTTAAAAGAGTAAAGATTTTATTTTTATTAATAGTATAGATATAGATTACATGTTAAGTTTAGAGTCTAATTTTATTTCTTAATATAATATTAGACAACTTACTAAATGTGAAATGGTATCTTGTCTTAAAAATATAGTATTAAGCTTCTAATTAACTAAAACATAAAATGGTAACTTCCCAAGTTTTAGTATGTAGTTTTAACTATATAATGTACAACTTAATTCACCCTTTTGTAAACCATAAATAAATAAACACTAAACCTTTTACCTTTGTTCAAAATCAATAGAAATTCCATGGCAAACCAGAGGGCGACATGGACATGGGATGAAGAGAGGATCTTTGAGAGTGCTCTATTAACCTATGTAGAAGGAACACCTAAAAGATGGAAAAAGATTGCGAAGTTAATTTCTGGAAAATCAGCCAAGGATGTTGAAGAACATTATCCCATTTTGTTGGCCAAAATAGAAGCCATGGAAAGTAACATTACTCAGTTGCAAACCAACACAAATGATGCTTCGTCTTCGCAGCGTAGAGAAGAGAAGGAAGTGGGCTCAGTTTGGGATTTGGATGAATTGGTTTCATGCTCGGAAGTATATCATGCTTTAAATAAATATAATTAATACTCCCTAAGAATATAGTGTTACACTATTTTTCTAGTTTATTTACATTAGTCCTACGCTTTATAACTTTTTAGTTAGTTTAGTTCGTTCTAATTATAGGAAAGTGATGAGAGTTTATTTGTAATTTTTGTTATATTTAATGCATGGTTGGACATACATCGGTTTTTATTATTCGAATTCAATAAAATAGTTAGTTTATTAGTCAATTTTAAATTATTCTTCCACATCTGGGAGGTTATTCCCACACTGCTGCTGGTAGGACTCAATCCTGGTCATCCTTCCAAAGTTTCACCTCTATAACCAGTTGAGCTACCCATGCGGACGTCAATTTTAATTTATTTTATCACTATTAGTTGTTTAATTTGACTTGGTTAAACAATATAATCAATATGAGTGTTTGAAGAAGATGTGTGATTTACTAACTTTTCATACCCTAATTATGGCATTGTTTGATAAATAATTGTTAGCTGATAGTTGTTAGCTAATTGGGTTAGATGCTATGAAAAGTTAATAAAATCTCTAAGATGGCTGACATTCAAATTACGTCCAATCTTGGAAAATATTTGGGTGTTCCTTCCTTTCCAGGCGAGGTGAATACGGAAGCCTTTTACCCCATGATTGACCGCATAAATTTACTATTGGGGACCAGATTATGGATGCAAACATTTAATTAAACGAGTAGAATTTGAAAGTCTACATAGTAAAACTTTGTTTTTTAAATTCTTTATGCCATATTGAGTACCGTTCTACTTCAATAAAAACGGTAGAAATATTCTTTAGTTTTAAAAATTATTTAAGTAATTAACCAAGTATGCATTATTTTTAGAATATAATAATATGTTATAGTTTAACTTAACTTTGATCTTTCTAGAATAGAGATGAGTAATTGTGGCACAAGGAAACTCAATTGATTAATATTATTTACTTTCCTAGTGACTAGGGTTAAATAATGCAGGGAGAGAGAAAGGGATAGCGCCATTAAAAAAAAACAAAAAAAACAAAAAAAAACAAAAAACAAAAAACAAAAAAAAAAAGGATAGCGCGAAGGTTTTTTTTTTTTTTTTTTTTTTTTGAGAGAGAGAGAGAGAGAGAGGAGGAAGTATAATAATAATAAAAAAAAATATGAATTTTAATATGTATTTGAGACAAGTTATTAAATTATATTATTCTTCCCGAAGGTTGAATCCCTAACCCGGCCCGACAAAGTATCTCGGAGGATGTAAATCATGGTAACTTAACTGAACCACAGAGGCTAGATCTTTGCTTACTGCGCACAAGGAGTCCACCCTCACTTTGAGAGTTTGCTCCCACACTATCGATGGTGAGACTCGATCCTTAGTCATTCTTCCCAAACTTCACCCGACCAGTTGAGCTGCTCATGCGGGCTATTAAATTACATTATTGACCTTATTCTTAACGGTAGATTAACGAAAATTTTAACGGAGGACCAATAGTTGCAATCAAATTAAAGTCGATGATGTAATATGGCAAAATTAAAAGAGAGGAACTAAATGTGGCAATGTCACAATAGTCGAGGACAAAAAATGGAATTTACTCTTATGCATAATTAAGCTGAGTATAATTTATTGTTATATGATGTTATAAAAAAAAAAAAAAAAAAAAAAAGACTTTCTTCATCTTCATTGGCTTTGTGATCTGGGTACTTGAACATCGCGTAAACAAAGAGTTTCCAGGTCCTCGTCACAAGCAAGTTGGGGTGATCTTCTGGTTCTCCTTCTCCACTCTAGTGTATCTTTGAATTCGAGCAAATAATTGCCCAATTACTCATGCGATGCACTGATAAATTTTTTATTATATATTACCAATTAATTAGATATTAATTAATTTTAATAAAACATTTTGTTACTAAAACTTTATTAATTCTTTTACCAATAAATTAATTAATTAATATTAAAAAAAGTTTGAGCGAAAAAGCTGAAGATGGAGATTTTACTTTTATTAATAAATATAGATTAATTAATATTCATATTAGTTTGGGCGCGAGAAAAGTTTAAAAAAAAAGATTTTATTTTTATTAATACTATAGATATAGATTACATGATAAGTACTTTAGAGTGTAATTTTATTTCCTAACATAATATTAGACAACTTACTAAATGTAAAATGGTATCTAAGTATCTTTGTCTTAAAATATAGTATTAAGCTGCTAATTAACTAAAACGTAAAATGATAACTTCTCAAGTTTTAGTATGTAGTTTTAACTATATAATGTACAACTTAATTCACCCTCTTGTAAACCATAAACCCTTAACCTTATATATCTTTGTTCAAAATCCATACAAATTCCAATGGCAAACCAGAGGGCGACATGGACATGGGATGAAGAGAGGATCTTTGAGAGTGCTCTATTAACCTATGTAGAAGGAACACCTAAAAGATGGAAAAAGATTGCGAAGTTAATTTCTGGAAAATCTGCCAAGGATGTTGAAGAACATTATCCCATTTTGTTGGCCAAAATAGAAGCCATGGAAAGTAACATTACTCAGTTGCAATCCAACACAAATGATGCTTCGTCTTCGCAGCGTAGAGAAGAAAAGGAAGTGGGCTCAGTTTAGGATTTGGATGAATTGGTTTCATGCTCGGAAGTATATCATGCTTTAAATAAATATAATTAATACTCCCTAAGAATATAGTGTTACACTATTTTTCTAGTTTATTTACATTAGTCCTACGCTTTATAACTTTTTAGTTAGTTTAGTTCGTTCTAATTATAGGAAAGTGATGAGAGTTTATTTGTAATTTTTGTTATATTTAATGCATGGTTGGGCATGCATCGGTTTTTATTATTCGAATACAATAAAATAGTTAGTTTATTAGTCAATTTTGATTTATTTTATCACTATTATATTAGTTGTTTGACTTGGTTAAACAATCAATATGAGTGTTTGAAGAAGATGTGTGATTTATTAACTTTTCATACCCTCTAATTATGACATTGTTTGATAAATGATTGTTAGCTGATATTTGTTAGCTAATTGGGTTAGATGCTATAAAAAGTTAATAAAATCTCTGAGATGGCTGGCATCCAAATTACGTCCAATTTTGGAAAGTATTTGGGTGTTCCTTCCTTCCATGGCGAGGTGAATACGGAAGCCTTTTACCCCATGATTGACCGCATAAATTTACTATTGGGGGCCAGATTATGGATGCAAACATATAATTAAACGAGTAGAATTTGAAAGTCTACATAGTAAATTTTTTTTTTTTAAATTCTTTATGCCATACCGAATACCGTTCTACTTCAATAAAAATGGTAGAAATATTCTTTAGTTTTAAAAATTATTTAAGTAATTAATTAAGTATGCATTATTTTTGGAATATAATAATATGTTATAGTTTAACTTAACTTTGATAGGTCTAGAGATGAGTAATTGTGGCACAAGGAAACTCAATTGATATGAATAATCTCTAATGCATACAAATTTATGTAAGAAAATAGCCCTATATCTCATATTGGTTATCATATCTCACTCATTATGTATTTATGTAGTGAAAATGATAATCTCTTTTATTCTCTAACGGTTTATAGCTGACACGATACTTGAAGTAAGGAACATAGATCTCACATCTAACCCATAACATCACACTCATTAAGGTGGCAGGCAAGAGCTTAATTTGAGTTAAACAAGACGATTTTATAGCTTGGCTTAGCATAGCTCAACTAATATTATTTAATCAAGTATATATGTATAAATGTTATAACTCTAAACTAAAAAAATTAAAAATCAAAAATTAATTTTTGGAATGTGGATTGGGCCAAGATTTTTATTGTTTAATCAATCGCAATTAATTCATATTTTAATTCAATCGTTATGCTGTGCAACCGTGTGCACCATGCATGGTGCACACAGTTACAAAACGATGCCGTTTCATTTATAAAAATAATAATAATAATAATAATAATAATAATAATAATAATAATAATAATAATAATAATAATAATAATAAATCCCGTTCGGATCATCGTTAACGGCGTTAGGCGGTTTCCTGTCGTATTCAAACAGTGGAATATATCCACAATTTCATAACTATATATTCACAATTTCATAACTATATATCCAGAATTACATAACAATATGACCAGAATTACATAACTATATATTCATAATTTGACAATAGTACATTCAGAAATAATAACTAGACATTCATAATTTCATATCCATATACTCATAATTTCACAACTAGACATTCATAATTACATAACTCCATATTCAAAATTCTTAAAGTGCTTGTTCACAGAGAACCATATCCTTAATTGCATAACTACACATCCATAATTCCAAAACTATATATCCATAACATCATAACTATATATCCATAACTTCATAACTATATATTCAGACTCGCATAACTATATATTCATAATTACACGTCGATTTGAGTTTTTGTAATATATATATATATATATATATATATATATATATTTGATTGGTGGAGCTAAACGGTGCCACTAATGGCACCGTTACTCCATCATAGTAAATGGTGTCATTTTGCATGGTGCACACGGTTGCACAATATAATTTGCGATTTTAATTGGTCATTAATAAAGGTAATATTTTAAATATTTTTAATGTTTTCGGTTATGGTTGAATCAATATTTTTACTATTTGGTCATGTCCAAGCACATTTATTTTAACTAGACTAACTCAATTAAGTTTAAATCTTGACAAATGGTGAGTCAACCTTCCTATTTGATACCACTCAAAGGGAGTGAATGAAAAAACTAAGCATGATATAAGAATATTCAAAATATGTTTTTCAAGTAAAAATCTAGCTAGGAAGATATTTTACATTAAATTAAATAATTTTTCTTTGATTGAAATGAGTATTATAGGTTTATAGTTAATTATTAAAAACAACAATTTTAAAAAAAAAAAAAAAAAAAAAAGAAGACTTTCTTCATCTTCACTGGCTTTGTGATCTGGGTACTTGAACAACGCGTAAACTAAGAGTTTAAAGTTCCTCGTCACAAGCAAGTTGGGATGATCTTCTGGTTCTCCTTCTCCACTCTAGTGTATGCTTGAATTCGAGCAAATAATTGTCCAATTAGCCATGCGATACACGGGTAATGCTCGTGCGATGCACAAATAAATTATTTTATTATATATTACCAATTAATTAGATATTTGTTAATTTTAATATAACATTTTGTTACCAATAAAGCTTTTTTAATTCTTTTACCAATTAATTAATTAATATTAAGAAAAGTTTGAACGAAAAAGTTGAAGATGAAGATTTTACTTTTATTATATTAATAAATATAGATTAATTAATATTCATATTAGTTTAGGCGGGAAAAGTGAAAGAGAAAAGATCTTACATTTATTAATAGTATAGATATAGATTACATGTTAAGTTTAGAGTCTAATTTTATTTCTTAATATAATATTAGACAACTTACTAAATGTAAAATGGTATCTTGTCTTAAAAATATAGTATTAAGCTTCTAATTAACTAAAACGTAAAATGGTAACTTCCCAAGTTTTAGTATGTAGTTTTAACTATATAATGTACAACTTAATTCACCCTCTTGTAAACCATAAATAAACACTAAACCTTATACCTTTGTTCAAAATCAATAGAAATTCCATGGCAAACCAGAGGGCGACATGGACATGGGATGAAGAGAGGATCTTTGAGAGTGCTCTATTAACCTATGTAGAAGGAACACCTAAAAGATGGAAAAAGATTGCGAAGTTAATTTCTGGAAAATCAGCCAAGGATGTTGAAGAACATTATCCCATTTTGTTGGCCAAAATAGAAGCCATGGAAAGTAACATTACTCAGTTGCAAACCAACACAAATGATGCTTCGTCTTCGCAGCGTATTGAAGAGAAGGAAGTGGGCTCAGTTTGGGATTTGGATGAATTGGTTTCATGCTCGGAAGTATATCATGCTTTAAATAAATATAATTAATACTCCCTAAGAATATAGTGTTACACTATTTTTCTAGTTTATTTACATAAGTCCTACGCTTTATAACTTTTTAGTTAGTTTAGTTCGTTCTAATTATAGGAAAGTGATGAGAGTTTATTTGTAATTTTTGTTATATTTAATGCATGGTTGGACATGCATCGGTTTTTATTATTCGAATACAATAAAATAGTTAGTTTATTAGTTAATTTTGTTTTATTTTATCACTATTAGTTGTTTGAATTGGTTAAACAATCAATATGAGTGCTTGAAGAAGATGTGTGATTTATTATCTTTTCATACCCTAATTATGGCATTGTTTGATAAATGATTGTTAGCTGATATTTGTTAGCTAATTGGGTTAGATGCTATAAAAAGTTAATAAAATCTCTGAGATGGCTGGCATCCAAATTACGTCCAATTTTGGAAAGTATTTGGTGTTCCTTCCTTCCATGGCGAGGTGAATACGGAAGCCTTTTACCCCATGATTGACCGCATAAATTTACTATTGGGGGCCAGATTATGGATGCAAACATATAATTAAACGAGTAGAATTTGAAAGTCTACATAGTAAATTTTTTTTTTTTAAATTCTTTATGCCATACCGAATACCGTTCTACTTCAATAAAAATGGTAGAAATATTCTTTAGTTTTAAAAATTATTTAAGTAATTAATTAAGTGTGCATTATTTTTGGAATATAATAATATGTTATAGTTTAACTTAACTTTGATAGGTCTAGAGATGAGTAATTGTGGCACAAGGAAACTCAATTGATATGAATAATCCTAATGCATACAATTTATGTAAGAAAATAGCCTTATATCTCATATTAGTTATCATATCTCACTCATTATGTATTTATGTCGTGAAAATGATAATCTCTTTTATTCACTAACGGTTTATAGCTGACAGGATGCTTGAAGTAAGGAATATGGATCTCACATCTAACCAATAACATCAAACTCATTAAGGTTGCAGGCAAAAGCTTAATTGGAGTTAAACAAGACCATTTTGTAGCTTGGTTTGGCATAGCTCAACTAATATTTAATCCAGTATACATTGATAAATGTAATAACGATGAACTAAAGAAATTGAAAATCAAAAATTAATTTTTGGGGTGTGAATTGGACCAAGATTTTTATTGTTTGATCAATCGCGATTAATTCATATTTTAAGTGGTCATTAATAAAGGTAATATTTTAAATATTTTTAATGTTTTGGATTATGGGTTGAATCAATATTTTTACTATTTGGTCATGTCCAAGCACCTGTATTTTATCTAGACTAACCCAATTAAGTTTAAATATGGACAAATGGCGAGTCAACTTTCCCATTCGATGCCACTCAAAGGGAGTGCGTGAAAGAACTAAGCATGATATAAGAATTTTCAATAAATGTTTTCCAAGTAAAAATCTAGCTAGGAAGACATCTATATATATATATAAAAATAAAATTCTCCTAATCAAGTTTTCCCCCCAAAACTTAGGGGCATTTTTGTAACATCATCCAATTTATATATATAATATAGATAGATAATATAGATGGCATATTTACCATATACGAATTTATTATATATATAATATATATAATATAGATTGCATATTTATATATGCATATTTCGTACAGGGTATTCAATGGTAAGAGGTAAATGTATATGGTAAGAGGTAAATTTATATGCATATTTTGAGGTAAATTTATATGCATATTTCTGAAGTTTATTTAATAAAAATGAAAATAAAAAGGGATACTTAATTCAATGAAAATGAAAAAGGAAAATGAAAGATTGTTCAAAAAAAAATCTATATCTATATATATATATATATATAAATAAAATCCTCCTAGCCAAATAAATTATTATACTTTCCTTTGAATTACTATTTTCCACCTATAAATAAAAATTTATAGACTTTGGCATTCATTCATCTTCCCTCACACTACCGGTTCTTCATGATTTTCAATATATTCCTACGTCTTCTTCAATTCTAGCAAAACTCATTCACTTAATCTCTACTTCAGGTAATGGTTTCTACTCTCCAAATTCTTTTGTTTAAATCTAAGTTTGTTGAGATTGATGGTGAATAATATGCTTTGGTTATTATTATTATTGGATTTATTTATTTGATTCACAGATTTTTTATCAAGGTGGTTAGGATGCTATTAAGGTTGATAGAAAGTTTGCCTTCGAGGGTAAGATTTTATGTTCACCAAAATTATTATTTTCTCCGAGTATTGTATGTATTGATATTATATGTGATATTATATGCTATATGTTATTCATGTGAACACAGGTACATTTATCGATAAATGGTAATATTGTGAGTGGTGGTTCTTGAAATATTGAGAATGAGTTTCGATTTGTCGAACTCATGCGTTATGTAAATACTTGGCTTGAAATTTTTGGTGTTGTATACATAGTAGTATTGTGAAATTGTATTAATACTGGATTATGGACTATAATTATATTTTGGACAAATCATGTGGAGAAAATTGTATTTTGGAGAAATTAAAATTGTAAATTTTTTTTTGAAAATTGTATTTGAAGAAAATTATATGTTCTGGAGAAAATTGTATTTTTGTGGAGAAAATATTTATTTGTGGAGAAATAATGAAATTTTGAGAAAATAATATATTGTGTGGTGTTCAGTAAGAGTGAGTACTGTTTACTTGGACTATTTACTACTCATTAGGCTTTGAATGTATCACATAAGTTATGATTCAGTTTTCAAATTGTTTGAGGGTAGTAGGTAGGATAACTTGACTATGGATCATATATTACCCATTGGCTTGGAATCCTCTAGGGGGTGTGTACATAGATTTTAGTCCAGTTTCAAAGTGGATTTCAAAAGGTTTGGTTACTTCTCCATAAATAACTATTAATTCTCCATACAAGAAAATGTATAACTCCACATGCATTTTGGAAAAGTATGAATTTATATGAGTTTTGAAAATATAAAAAATCCAAGCCATTATTTTACGGGGTGGAGTGGAACTTACTTAGCTTATGCTAATTTTTGTGTTACATTCTGTTTTTGTGTAAAATTATTTATACAGGTGAACATGGATAGGAATTCGGGATGAATTCAAGTTGAGAAGGAATAAAGTTTAATTATTTGTTATTTTGAGGAAAATGTTGTATAGTAATTTCAGTTTTATGTACTAAGTTGATTTTGAGATATTATTTGATGTTGAAAATTTAGCATAATTACCATAAATAATGTTTAATAATTGACAAATTCGATTAGACAATAAAAATTATCATTATAAAATCTTTTGTACTATGAACACATTATTTTTAATTATTTTGGTTTAATAATATTATATCTTATTTATAAAAATTCAAAGTAATATTTTTAGTACTATTGAATATTGATTGACTAAAAATAATCTTAATTATTATTAAGACAATTAATAGGTATTTAGATTTAAAAAGTCTTCAAATATGAATTATACATAGTAACATAGAATCAATTAGTAGGACAATTATATTAAGTAATCTAATTAATAATTTATTTTTTAAATTATATCTCCTTTTTCTTAATGTGGATCTATATATTTTAAATAATTTTGATTTAATAATATTATACCTTAATTATAAACAAAATCTTCCTATTTTATTTTTTCCACTCAAACTTTTGTAGTTAATTAATTAAATATTCTATTGGTAATACTATGTACAAAAAATTATTAATTAAGTAATAACAAAATAGCATAATTAGTAATAATATGTATGGTATTTTATAATATAATTGGTAATAAACATATTCAGTAAACTACATGAATAACCATATTGATTTTATATTTATAATTTTAAATTTATGTCTTTTGTTTAAATTGAAAGATTTAATGGGTTTACATTCCTTTGAATATTCATTTTTTTTATTTGTTTACCCACACCTGCATGTCCATAGGTGAAATTATAGTATTTAAAATAACATTACAAAAATAATTATTAGCTGACAATAAAAACGACACAGAATTTAGGCCAATTGAAATAGAAAATGACTATTAATAATTAACTGAAAAGTAAATTTTTTTTGAAATTGACTCAAATGCACAAAATGAAATGAATATTAATAATTGATTAAAAAATAAAAATGAAATGAATATTAATAAATTACTGAAAATATAATTTTTTTTATGGAAACTAGGCCAATTGGAAAAGGAAATGAATATTAATAAATTACTAAAAATATAAAAATTACTGATATAAAATGCATTAATAAAAATGTAAAATGAAGTTTGCATTTCAACGTATAACCGAGATGGAAAAAAATATTTATATCGGTTATATATTTTATAAAATGTAAAGTTAGTGGAAATATAAAAACAATGTTATTAATAATTAACTAATTAATTAATATGTATTAAAAAAATAATTGATTGAGAATAAAAATGACATAAAATTTATGCGAATAGAAATAGGAAATGACTATTAATAATTGACTGGAAATGAAAAATACTTCCAAACTGACTTAGTATATAGAAAGAATATTAATCTCGGTTATATATTTTATAAAATATAAAGTTACTGGAAATATATAAAAAAATCTGTATATATATGTTACTGAAATAAAGTTATGTAAAGATATATATTTAAAAATTGAAAATGAAATAGAATCATTCAGTGTTCACAATTTGTAAGGAAATTTTGTAATTAAAGATGGAAAATGTTTTGCAATACGATATGGAAATATAAGGTTTAGCCGAGATGGAAAGAATATTAATCGATATGAAAATTAAAATTTTTTACACAAAATGTTATTTTATAATAAGAATATAAGGATTGCGCAATTATAAAGTTTAGCCGAGTATGTCAAAAAACAAAAAGTTTAGCCGAGATGAAAAAATATTAATCTCGATTATATATTTTATAAAATGTAAAGTTAGTAGAAATATTAAAAAATGTTTGTATATATGTTACTGGAAATATAGTTGTGTAAAGATATATATATATATATATATATATATATATATATATATATATATATATATATATATATATATATATATATATATTTACAAATGGAAAATTGAATAGAATCGTTTAGTATTCACAATTTATAAGAAAAATTGTGTAGTTAAAGATGGAAATGTTCTTGCAATACGTATGAATGATTTAAAAGAAATTAATTATGACTGATTTTGTAGCAAATCTTTATTCAAAATTACAGGACCTCATTACAATACGCATATATAAAGATGTAAAATTATGTATAGAATGTGTAAGGAAGATTTTGCTTAAAAATGGAAAACAAATTAGACGAATTGGAAAAGGTAATGAATATTAATAATTCACTCAAAATTAAATATGATCCCCATATATAATTCACTGAACACTGATATTTAAAATATCTAAAGTTTCAGCACTTAATGCGTACATCTACACATTGACTATTAATTTTGGCCAATTATTTGATCAAATTCAAGCAATTATAACATTAGAAAATACAATCGATCCAACTCAATTTATCAATTACATTATATAATATTCGATATAATAATTTATATAATTATAGATCGATTCAAATATTCTTAAAATATTTTAACAAATTCATTCCGTGCATCGCACGGGGGCAAATACTAGTTTTACATTAAAGGAATAAGATTCAAATTGGCCACTGAACATAACCTGAAAATACAATTAGGCCTCTGAACGAAAAAAAAAAAAAAAAAAAAAAAAAAAAGTGCAATTAGGCCACTGAACTCTACAAACGTATGCAATTTCACCGGATAGAAGGTTACCATCAATTTTAGTAGGTTACCTACTTATGTGGCAGCTGAGTTGGCATTTTTAATAATTTTTAATAATTAATGATAATAAATTAAAAAAAAATTGAAAAAAAATAAAATAAAGTCATTTTTATTATTTTTTATTTTTTAATAAAAATTTATTGTTAAAAATTATTTAAAATTTATTAAAAATGCAGCTGCTACGTAAGCAGGTAACCTGCTAAAATTGAGAGTAACCTGCTATCAGGTGAAATTGCACATTTTTGGAGTGTTCAGTGGCCTAATTGTACTTTTTTTTCGTTCAGTGGCCTAATTGCACTTTTTTTTTTTTTCGTTCAGTGGCCTAATTGCATTTTCAGGTTACGTTCAGTGGCCAATTTGAACCTTATTCCTACATTAAAAAATATAATTTTTCTTTGACAGAAATGAGTATTATCGGTTTATAGTTAAATATTAAAAAATTTAAAAGAAAAAAAAAAAGGCTTTCTTAATCTTCATTGGCTTTGTGATCTGGGTACTTGAACATCGCGTAAACAAAGAGTTTCAAGGTCCTAGTCACAAGCAAGTTGAGATGATCTTCTGGTTCTCCTTCTCCACTCTAGTATGTGCTTAAATTCGAACAAATAATTATCCAATTACCCGTGTGATGCACGTGCAATGCTCGTGCGATGCATAGATAAATTTTTTTATTATATTTTACCAATTAATTAGATATTAGTTAATTTTAATATAACATTTTGTTACCAATAAAGCTTTATTAATTCTTTTATCAATAAATTAATTAATTAATATTAAGAAAAGTTTGAGCGAAAAAACTGAAGAGGAAGATTTTACTTTTATTAATAAATATAGATTAATTAATATTCATATTAGTTTGGGCAGAAAAAGTTAAAAAAGAAAAGATTTACTTTTATTAATAGTATAGATATAGATTACATGTTAAGTACTTTAGAGTGTAATTTTATTTCTTAATATAATATTAGACAACTTACTAAATGTAAAATGGTATCTTGTCTTAAAAATATAGTATTAAGCTTCTAATTAACTAAAACGTAAAATGGTAACTTCCCAAGTTTTAGTATGTAGTTTTAACTATATAATGTACAACTTAATTCACCCTCTTGAAAACCATAAATAAACACTAAACCTTATACCTTTGTTCAAAATCAATAGAAATTCCATGGCAAACCAGAGAACGACATGGACATGGGATGAAGAGAGGATCTTTGAGAGTGCTCTATTAACCTATGTAGAAGGAACACCTAAAAGATGGAAAAAGATTGCGAAGTTAATTTCTGGAAAATCAGCCAAGGATGTTGAAGAACATTATCCCATTTTGTTGGCCAAAATAGAAGCCATGGAAAGTAACATTACTCAGTTGCAAACCAACACAAATGATGCTTCGTCTTCGCAGCAGCGTAGAGAAGAGAAGGAAGTGGGCTCAGTTTGGGATTTGGATGAATTGGTTTCATGCTCCGAAGTATATCATGCTTTAAATAAATATAATTAATACTCCCTAATAATATAGTGTTACACTATATTTCTAGTTTATTTACATTAGTCCTACGCTTTATAACTTTTTAGTTAGTTTAGTTCGTTCTAATTATAGGAAAGTGATGAGAGTTTATTTGTAATTTTTGTTATATTTAATGCATGGTTGGACATGCATCGGTTTTTATTATTGAATTCAATAAAATAGTTAGTTTATTAGTCAATTTTGATTTATTTTATCACTGTTAGTTGTTTGACTTGGTTAAACAATCAATATGAGTGTTTGAAGAAGATGTATGATTTATTAACTTTTCATACCCTCTAATTATGGCATTGTTTGATAAATGATTATTAGTTAATTGGGTTAGAGACTATGAAAAGTTAATAAAATCTCTGAGATGGCTGGCATCCAAATAATAATGATTTGTTCCATAATACAATTCAGCTGGTTAACTAATCTTGATGTTTTCACTAGTAATTGTATTGTGCAGAATATTATAAATTAAATACTTATATATAGCTAAGTATTTTTTATTTTTTTTTTATAAATTCAATTTACTTCTCCAGTTGATTAGAAATTCCTTGGGCGCAATATTTTTTATGAAATAACGAGATTGCTGCTAGATCTCGGATGCCCTTTAACGTTTTCCACGTGCAAGATCCAAGGAACAAAATCAAACATATGAAAATGGACAATACATGTGATAAATAAGAAACATTAATTTTATAATATATACAATTATTCTTAAAAACAAACAAACAAAGGAATCCTACTCATAGCGCACCTACATATTTACATAATGCATAATTTATAAATCAAAACAACTGAGAATCCCTTCTGCAGCATAATTAATTAAGTGCCACAATAATTAATTAAATACATTTAAAAATGCACTTGTTTTTTATTCGTAGAATTTCTAAACTGAAAATTTTTAATATAACTAAAATTTTAAAATAAAAAGTAATATACTACAGGGAAAGCAAATAATAAAAAACCATTAAATAATCTAGAAATACTACTAATTATGAATATAAATTCAATCAATAAAAGAAATTTATTTGTAGACATTTATAATCATATCACTAAATAATTCTACGAAGCTCAATCTGTTTGTCATAAACTATCGAATTTGAATCAAATATATTAATAAAAGAAAAGTATGTGTACAAAAGTTATAATATTATAGAATGTTATTCATTTTTTAAAAAACACAAATTATTATTATTCCAAAAGGCTGAACCCCAACCCCAAGGGCCCCCCACACTCCGGCCCGACAAAAACAAATTATTATTATTATTATTATTATTATTATTAAAGGTCATAAAAGACTAATTAAGCCATATCATCATGTTAGGAGTTATGCACTTATGCATGATGTAAAACAAGCAAACAACAACAAAATTTTAGATGGAAGAAACTAATAAAAAATGCATTTTTGTTCGTTCATAGAATTCTTTTTTTGCTTGAAACATTGGTTCAAACGTTAGTTTAATTTATTGGATGTAGAATTATTATCATCAATAATAATCCATTAAAACTACAAAGATTAAATTAATAAATAACAATAATCTGCATGCCCCATTTAGCAACAAGAATTATTATGAGTTTTTAATTTAAAATAAAAATATATATAATATCTCAAACAAGGGAGATATGATTATGCATCTAGAAATACTTAATTTATCTCTAGATCACTCAATATACATTAGGTTACCAATCCACATTATATACCAATCCAAATTACTAAGTATCCTGAGATACCTAATCTTATTTTAGACCACTATATACCAACCCAATTAAATATCTCGAGATGCCTAATCTTATTTCTATATCATTGTACCAATCTACATTATATTATGTACCAATTCACATTAGGTATCCCGAAATATCTAATCTTATCTCTAAATTACTAAATCAACCCATATTAGGTATTATCATGAGATACCTAATCTTATCTCTATACTGATCCACAATAGGTATCGGTACACCTTAGGTATTATGAGATACCTAACTTAGATCACTATACCAATACACATTAAGTATCTCAAAATACCTAATCTTGACTTTAGACCATAATTATACATATCCATATTCTTAGCATTATTCATAGAATTAATTCCATATTTAAAAATTTGAATAGATTCAAAAGCAAAAGATAGAGTATTGATCTTTTAAAAGTTTATTAAAATGCAAAAGAAATTATTTACAATTTTCGCTTTTTCGGGGGATTTAAAAAATATATATTTGTAATAAATGAAATTGTAAATTGTAATTACTCAAATCTTAGAATCCATAGCATCAAAGCGAGATCCCATCATCATCATGACCCTAAACTCCTCGAAATCGATCATCCCGTCGCCGTCGCGATCGACGCCGCTGATCATGTTCCGGCAATCGGCAATGGAGCAGTCGTCGCCGAGGTTGTGAATCACGTTCTGGAGCTCCTCGGCGGAGATGGAGCCGTTTTTGTCGGCGTCGAAGACGGAGAAGGCGTCCTTGAGGTTCCGCAACACCTCCTCGGAGTCAATGTCCTGCGTGTTGAGCTCGATGAACTCTCGGAGATCGATGAAGCCGTCGCCGTCGCCGTCCACCTCCCGGACCATCGCCTTCAGCTCCTCCTCCGTCGCCACGTGGCCCAAGCTGCCCATGATGGACCCCAGCTCCGACCACGAGATCTTGCCGTCGCCGTTGACGTCGAATTTGTTGAACACCTGCTCCAGCTCCTCCTCCAGGCGCGCCCGAGAGCTAATCGACGACGTTCTCGAGTTTACGGATCCGCCATTCTCGCTAGGGCTCTCCCGCGGCTTCTCCTTGCCGAAGAGAGATTTGAATCCCACATTATCAAACATTTTGGTTATTTTTTGTTTTTTTTGGATAAGATTGGATGATGGAGATTGGATAATTTGAGAGAAAATAATATATGGAATAGTGGATTTGGATTAGATAGAGGAATGTGGCAAAGTATAGAAAGGTTGATTTGAGAGAAGATAGAATTGAAGAGAGTGAAAGGTCCCATAAGAATGAGAATTAGTTAGAACAAAGAGGAGAGTTTATAGGATTCTACAACCTTACTATTTCACATCAAACTTATTAATTGTCTAAGATATATATATATAATAATAAGAGTTGTGTTAAAAAAGTTTTTATTTGAAAACTATATATATCTACTATCTATCTACCATACTAATAAGAGCCCAAGAGAGTTAGGCCTATATCTACTATACTAATAAATAAGTGTCCAAGAGAATTAGGCCTATAATAGGAAGAAAAAATTGCGGTCAAATTTTTTAATCAAATGAATGGCTCAGATTGATCAGATTTTAATTTTTCCTTAAGATTTCCTAATTTATCCTTAATGAATATGATTATCCGTTAAATTTTCAGTTATATATTATCATTTCCGTTAATTTCTGTTAGTTCACCGTTAACTTATTGATTTTAATAAGAAAGGTCTTAAGTTCGAACCTCATCGCAATCAAAGTTGACATAATTAGTACTCTACTTTACTTCTATTAAATTACATAATAATTTAGTAGCTACAACAAAAATATAATACATATGCATTTCTTTAATTTAGAATTATGTGTCTATAATATATTTATTCCAAAAAAAAAAAAATTATTCATTATCAATAAATTAAATATAAGAAATAATTTCATTAGTTATATTGTCTTTATTTTTCTCCAATATAAAAATTCTTTATATTCAAATTCATCAATTGATTATATTCGCTACATTGTCCCTACAATGTCTTTATTAAAAAAATATTCAATTATCAATAAATTAATTAAGAGAAATAATTTTATTAGTTATATTGTCTTTATTTTTCTCAAGTGTAAAAATTCTTTACATTCAAATTCATCAATTGATTATATTCACTACATTGTCTATTATCTTTTTTTGTGCACTATTTTTTTAATTAACTATCAAAGTTATAATACAAAATAATGCTATATATTTATTTACCAAGTATTTTATTAATACCATGAAAAAATTAAAAAAAAATATAATTAATAAAGTCAATCATATTAACTACTTGAGGGATTTGTTGACAAAGAGAATATTCAAATCACACAACAAATTGAAGTGAGAACTATCTCGCAATGTCCTTGTTTGACAATCAGCAGTTAGCGGATTATATTAGCGAATTTGACTAGCGAATTATATCAACAGTTGGTAAAAAGATATTTGAAAAAATTAGTTGTTTAGATTAATATGTAAAATGCATTCAAAAAAGATTAATATGTAAAATGACCTAAGGGTGTGCATATTATAATAATAATAATAATAATAATAATAATAATAATAATAATAATAATAATAATAATAATAATTGTTTTATATATATATATATATATATATATATATATATATATATATATATATATATATATATATATATATATATATATATATATATATATATATATATATATAATTAAGCCAATCATATTAACTACTTTGGGAGATTTATTGACAAAAAAGAGTATTCAAATCACACAACAAATTGAAGTGGAAAATTACCTCGCAATGTCCTTGTTTGGTAATCAGCAGTTAGCTCTTCAATATTAGTATATATTTAATATTTTATGCCCTAATTTTTATTTGTTCTCCCTTATGTCCCGTATTTGGTTTCATTCAATTATCTATGCATGAACAATTCCAATATAATCTTGCATTGATATATACTTTAAAGTACTTATTTAAAAAAAAAAAAAAAAAAAAAAAAAAAAAAAAAAAAAAAACATTGGGCATTATCCCAATCGCGCAATGCGCGTAAAAAACTAGAACGCCTTGGGTATATATATTATTGTATGCTAGACCTTGTGATCTAATATTGGAGATTTTTGGGTTTGAGTCTCCCGTCATTCAAAATAGAAGTTAAAATTTTGAGTTCGAGCCTCAATGGAGGCAAGGCCGTTTAAGCACGGATAATAACCAGATTCTCAATTTTTTATTTTTTAATTCAAATGTCATATGGGGGTTGTGGGTTTTCGAGCCTCAATAGAGGCCGTCTACAACTAGATTTTTAATTGAGTTAATTCCAGCAATGGTCTTTCGACTATTGTGTTTTTTCAAAATGGATTCTCGTCTTTTAATTTAGATAAATAGACCCTTAACTATCAGATTTGTTCGAGCAATTGTCTTTTCGTTAAGCATTAATTTGGTTGGCGTTAAGTAGAGGGGTACAATGGTTATTTCCGTTATTGCTTTCTTCTACTTGAGAATCGCTTTCCAGTTGGCAACGCCGTCACTAGGTGGTGACGTTTGGTGAGGTTTTAGCTTCTCAAACCCTCCGATCTGTTCGATACGAGCTCAGATCTGTCGTTTGAGTTTCACTTCTCCGTTCTCGATTCTTCGTGGTTTTTATTTTTTTCCAGAAATTCCTTCGAAATTCCCGCAATTTAAGCTCGATCTGAGAATTGTCATGATCCCAATGATAAAATTTCTGCAATTGAGCTCATCAGTGGCGTCATCATCAAGAGGAGCTGGCAGCGTGGCCCTTGATCCAAAATTTTGCAATTTTGTTATTTACTTGTTTGGTTGTTCCTTTAAATTACATAGAATACTCAGGAGGAATTATGCAAATTTTGAATGAAATTTCCAATATTTACTCTCTCTACCGTTTTTTAATTTTGTTGTTTGAAATTTACCATTTCCCTTTGTAGTTTCTTCTGTTTTCCTGCGAATTGAGGTTTTTACTTTCTTTTTTTTTTTTTCGTCAAATTTGCAGCGATGCGTTGACTTTAGCAGAAGTTCATGTCTGCGCTGCTTCTGTTTAATTATTGAATTTATTTTAAATTAAGTGTATGTTTTCGTTAAGAATACCGAACAGTTTTCTGCTGCAGGTGGGTGAATTGTTCTTGATGCGTTGAGATGGAGAATGGAGCTGCAGGTGGGTGAATTGCTCTTGATGCGTTGAGATGGAGAATGGAGTTCCATTGGTGTCGCCGCCAGGGTAATTAAGCAGACTTTGGTAACGCAGACTTTGGTAACGTGCGCCGTGGAAATTTTAACATCCGCTCTTGTCACCACCCAACTCCTCTATCTTAATGTAGGTAAAACCATCCAGCGACGGCGCTGCAAACTGAATTCTCAAGAAAAAGAAAGAGGAAATTAAAAAATGATAGACTAATTTTAGAAAATTACAATAGTCGGAGGACCATTGCTGGAATTAACTCCTTTAATTTTTTAACTCAAATGTCAATTACAATCAACTGATAACTGGGGAAGAATATATTATTAATTTGTCTAATTGATCATTATTTGAGTAAAACTTTCAATTAACGAATAAAATTATAATTAGATTTAATTTTTAAATACTTATCATAGTATATGAATGAATTAAATCCACATTGAATTGATAAAATCAAGGCTAAATTTGTATAAAGAAGGTAAATATATAGGAAAAGTAAAATTAATATTAAAATTTTTGTTATGAAAAACAAACCCAATCTAATCATAGGTATACTAAAAATCCTTATACTTTTTTTTTTGAAAATACTAAAAATCCTTATACATATAACCAACTTGTATCAGGACCAACAATGGGGATGAAAATAAATGTCCTCAATCTTTGATAACTCCAAAATGTAATTATATATTATGCAACATTTTAGAATCTAAAATAAGAATAGCAATGTTTTACAACTTTAAAATTTAAAATTTTCTATACATTCAAATTAAAAGGGGCTTTTGGTTTCTAAGTTTTGGATTTGGATCAGAATAAAAGTATTACCAATTAATCTTTGTTCATATGGATACATTATTGAATCTGGTCTGGGCTAAGTGATCAAGCCCAAATGATGGAGTCCAAGAAAAGGACCAAAAGAAGGCCAAGCGCAAATTATTATCTGAACCCGGGTCCACCTTCCAAATGTTCACAATTTACATACTAAATGTTCACAGTTTACCTTTTGAAAATTCACAATTTGTATACTATGAACACACAATGCTAACATATATATAATTGATTACCTTATTATTAAGATTTGATGACCCTCTGTTACAGTATCTTGGGTTTTAAACATGTTTGGTTTCATCCAATTCATGCTTAAAAACAGGACAACTTTAACACGTATCCATCACCAAACCAACAAACATATCCTATAAATACTGTAATATATTTATGGGCTTTCATGTTCATTTACATGCATCTATTTAAAAATAAATAAATCAAATCCTAATATTAATACTAATGGCAGGGTCATCCAAGTTGTTTGCCATTATATTTCTCTTGCTGGCGCTCATTTCTTGTAACGGTCATTTTTTAAAAACAATTTCTTCATTTATATACGCTTTTAGTATCTTTCCTTCTCTCAAATACTGCCCACTGAACCATTGAACTAAACCCGCGCAGACACCTTATCATAACAAGTAATGAACCACATGAATGAGGTAAACCAACGTAGATTGTTGATAAAACTTAAAAGATCAGCTCAATTGCTCAAATCAAGAAGGTTAATAAAAAAAATTCATTGTGAGTCAAATTTAAAACATTGTGAATACTAAGCCAATCGCCTAACTAATTTGACCGAAATTTCCTTGTGATTTTAATTTCTTAAAGTAACATACACATGAGTGTTTTACAACTTGGATGTATTGTTACGTTCATCATTGTTTTTCATTTAAATATAAGCAGAAATAGGTTGTATGAGGACCGGAGAAACCATCGGTGAAGTCAAGAACGGGTGCGGCCGTGGGGGAAATGTAAAAACAAAAACGACAAAGATCAATGCAAAGAGAATTGCCTGAATCAAAAGTACCATTGCGGCTGGTGCGAACCCTGGCCGGGCAAAAGATGTTGTGAGTAACAAATCCAGAAACTTTTCTAAGTGGGGGGCAAAGTCCAACTGAATCTAAAAATGTCAATGACAAATTATCAAATATCGATAATATGGTTCAAATAGAAAATACATTATAAATTACAATATAATGTTTGCTATGTAATAAACTAATATCTTAAATTTAGAATTTAGTGTATTTTCAATACTAAGTAATCTCCTACTTGTCGTTTTTACTTCTCATTAATTACATGTTTTGAGGCCAAAATTGAGCAAATTAAGGAGATAATTCAGAAAGAAAGAGTTCTTGCACAAGCAGTCAAGTTTAGAAACTAGTCATGGTGTCAGGTTTACTGGGAATGAATTGATGTCTCTGTGATTTAGAGATGAAAGTTACCTAGAATACGAGATTGTATATGCAGATCAGAGGTTTAGAATACCCGAATGAATGTACCTAGTGGCTTCTTGAGATCAGGCAACGAATTTCAAACACCGAGTATCGTTGTGGATAGTCCGGCATCGGATTGAACAGAAGCGCATCCCACACTGTACACATGTATAGGGAGCAGAGAATCCACAAACAGTGCAGAAATGGCGACGGCAGGTGGAGCTCGGAGGTCCCGCTGCTGCTCTCAAGTAGGTGGGGACATGGGGAGGCAAGGACTCCAGGTTTGCCTATTATGAAGTGTGCCAAAATCTTAGCTAAGTACAAATTCAGAATTAACACAGACACATTCCTGTACTGAAACATAGCATCTCATAGCCTTAGAAACCCAGACCTCATTCAAGAGCTCTATGAATGTCTTTGGAGCCTTCTTGTTCTCAAGAGCCTTGGCTTGGCGCGTTTTCCTTTTAGTGCCTTTCGATTGCCTCTTCTGATATACTGCAAAAAATTATATGATAAGGATCAATTTAAGACTAAAAGGTAACCAGCTTGGTTGGCGTGAGTGACCGTGCACTCTCATCCCTTAAAAGAGGTTGGGAGTTCAAACCTCTCATATGGAAAAATCAATCTGGCCAACACTTTGCCCCTTAATTGGGCATCCCAGTGCGAACAGGGATTAATCTGGAGTATGATACGGGGTTAAAGGTGCCTCCTACAGGTAGAATCTACTCATGACACCTCGTGGTTTAACTAAAAAAAAAAATTTAAGACTAAAAGGACACAACAGTCAAGCATCACCCAAATCCAAACCACCGCAAAATTTAAGCTCTTAGTTTTCAAGAGAGGGAGTTCTTTAAATTTTACATTTTTTTTAACTCCATAGTCTAAAATGAGATTTAGTTGCAAGAGATACACGAGGAATAAAAGAAAATTGATTAACAGGTTAGCATTTAATTTGCTCTGCTATAGAGAAATGAAATTAGCTGCAGAAAAGAGCTACTTGATCCCAACCTCTTGCACCAAATCAATGTTTAAATTATAAGGGTGACTAATTCAGAAGCAGCAATGACACATTACAAGTCATATCAGTTAAACCATGCAAATAATTTTCATTAACATAAGAGAGCAAGCATGCAGAAAGCACGAGAAAATGAACCTTGATCATCGTCATCAAGAGAGGCTTCATCATCGTCATCAAGTTGCACTGGCTCCGGCACAGCATTGTCACTTTCCAAAGCATCAAGGCGAGCCAAAATTGCCTGTGCCAACAGGACAGTAAAACTAGCTCTGAATACATTCAAATTCAAAAAAAAAAATTTCAATTCAAAATTGAACTTCCATGTCTTTATTGGTCTTGAATCTATTAAAAAAATTAAAATAAAAAATGCAACAACGTAAAGATCCACAATTCCAGCCAGACAATTCGACTGAGTCAATCGAAAATACTTACCTGTGTTCGATTGTCGGAGCTTGCAAGCGCAGCTGCCATTTTCGGAGCAACCTTACGAGATCTTGTCGACATTCGACGTGCTGAATTCGACGTTTCCTCATCCATCTCTGAAATTTGAGAATCCAAATATGCGAAAAATAAAATTCCACAAAATATAAAGCTATTAATATTTTGTTCAATATTTTCACATGATAACCTATGACACACAACTCACAACACATGAAACATGTAGGGGAAATTAAACTACTACTATCAAATATCAACATGTGCTTGTAAGATAAATAGTTCATAGCACAACTAAAATCTCAGTCATATACACAACAAGGCAAATCTAAAGCTTCCTACACCATAATCTCATTACATGATGAATCCCTCTATGCTACCAACAATAACTTAATTGCACATGACATAATACCAATAAAAAAAAAAAAAAAAAAAAAGACATGTACTGAAGATGAAGACAATGACAATGCTACCCAAACGAGAATTAGAGAAATTTAAACCAAAAGTTGTATTTATTTAGATTATCGCTTTTAGACTAAGTATTTAGACTAGCGTTATTACAAAGTTGCAAATATTTATTTTGGAATAAGGTTCAAATTGGTCATTGAACGTAACATGAATATGCAATTAGGACACTGAACACTCCAACAACGTGCAATTAAGCCACTAAACACTCCAAATGTATCCAATTTCACCTGATAGCAGGTTACCATCAATTTTAGCAGGTTACCTGCTTACGTGACAGCTGAGTTGGCATTTTTAATAATTTTTAATAAATTTTAATAATAAATTTTCAGTGACTTAATTGCATTTTCAAGTTACGTTTAGTAGCTAATTTGAACCTTATTCCATTTATTGTTGTGACACTTATATATAATCAATCTCTCATATATTATCTTGCATTTATATATTTTAAATTACTGATTTAAATAAATAAATTCAATATTTATTTACCTATGCATGAACATCTTCTATATAATATTACATTGATATACTTTGAAATATTTATTTAAAAAGAATCATTGGGCATTATCTCATTCGCGCAAAGCGCGTAAAAAAAACTAGTATATATATATATATATATATATATATATATATATATATATATATATATATATATATATATATATATATATATATATATATATATATATGTATGTATGTATGATAATAATGATAGAATTATGAAACTTTAGAATTAAATAGCAACGGTGTAATAACGGTATAATGGTATTTTAGTCTAACAAGAATGTAGTACGGATAATTTTATTCATTATATTTGAAGTGTGCAATATTTAATGAAAAATGTATACCCTTATTAGCATACAAATGTGAATATAGAAATGAATGTGGGTATAGCTTAGTGGGTAAAGCTCTTAGTTTATAATTAAATGAGTAAGGGTTCAAACCTCACCTTAAACATTTAATATAATATATATCTATTGAGTTAATACCCAAAATCGTCCTCGACTATAGTGGTTTTTCTCAATTTCGTCCTAAACGACTTTGGTGACCTAATATCGTCCCAGACTTTTGTGTTTCGCTCAATTTAGTCCTCCATTTGTTATTCCGTCAAATTGGTGTTATATAGGGACAATTCAGTAATGTCAATATTGATCTCTCTTTACTTTCAACTTGTGAAGTGCGAAATTCCTCTTTCTTGTACGAATTACACCCAGAATTATTCCCGAACCTGCAAATCAAATTTTATATTCGCAGTTTTAGGAGTAATTCTGTGAGTAATTCGTAAAAAAAAAAAAGAATTTCGCAGTTCACATGTCTATGAGTAAAGAGATGCCAATATTAAAATTACTGAATTGTCTATTTATTTAACACCAAATGGACAGAATAACAAATGAGGGACTAAATTGAGCAAAAACACAAAAGTCTGGGACTAAATTGAGCGAAACACAAAAGTCTGGGACGATATTAGGTCACCAAAGTCGTTTAGGACGAAATTGAGAAAAACCACTATAGTCGAGGACGATTTTGGGTATTAACTCTATATCTATTAATATTAAAAAAAAAAAAAAAAAAAAAAACGATCGGGTCTTTGGGGTAGAAACCGAACCGGTTCGGTTCGGGTACCCGAACCGATTTGCCCAGCCCTAATTTGTTCAGGGATGATGGCAAACAAATATGTACTGCAGTTTCATTTTAACACAATCACAATATCATTTTGACATAATTACAGTTTCGCTAGACAATATATACTCAAATTGTGAAATTGTTATTCAGTTTCATTTTGTATACACTGCAGTTTCATTTCAGCACAACTTCGATTTCATATTAATTCAATTGCAATTTCATTTGATAATATAATAAAAATAATACGTGAGACAGTGTCAGTTTAGAACTTTAGATACACTAGTGTTTAGGGATGTCAATTGAGTTATCCCACTAGGTTTTGGGTAACCCTACAGGGTTGTTGAACTTATTTGCAAATTATGTTGTGCAACCGAATGCACCTTGCAAGGTGCATACGGTTGCAAAACGGCGCCGTTTTGGTTAAAAGAAGAAATCAGGTTCGATTCCCGGCAATAGCATTTTTATATATCCAGAAATTCATAACTATATAACCACAATTTCATAACTATATATCCACAATTTCATAACTATATATCCACCGTGAATAAATGAAGTAAAAATCCACAATGAATGAACTAAATATCCACAATATATGATTGGACTAAATATCCACAATGAATGAACTAAATATCCACAAATTCATAACTATATATCCACAATTTCATAACTATATATCCACAGTGAATGAATGAAGTAAAAATCCACAATGAATGAATGAATGAAGTAAAAATCCACAATGAATGAATGAAGTAAAAATACACAATGAATGAACTAAATATCCACAATATATGATTGAACTAAATATCCACAATGAATGAACTAAATATCCATAAATTCATAACTATATATCCACAAATTTATAACTATATATCCAGAAATTCATAACTATATATCCACAATAATGCTATTGCTGAGAATCGAACCTGATTTTTTTTTTAAGTGGGACGCGCGTTTTTAGTCAAAACAACGTCGTTTTAAACCGTATGCACCATGCGCATGGTACATTCGGTTGCACAGCATAACTATTGGAACTTATTCAGTCGTTATATTATAGACCATGGTGCATGTGCACCGCGGTCAAAAACGGCGCCGTTTCTTTAAGTGAAGAAACGGCCCGCCGTTAGAGTTAACGGAGTCCGCTTGTTTGGTGTATTAAACATCAACTGACACTATAATATATCTAAACCGACACTGCAGTTATATCAAAATGATACTGTAGTTATAGTGAAATGAAACTATAGTGTATATAAAATGAAACTGAATAACATTTCACATATTTGAGTGTATATTGTACAATGAAGCTGTAATAATATCAAAATAATCATGTAGTTGTGTTTTAATGAAACTATAGTGTATATAAAATAAAATTAAATAACATTTTCACATATTTGAGTCTATAAATATCAAATGAAACTATAGTTATATCGAAATGAAACTGTAGTTGTGTTGAACTGAAACTGCAGTGTATACAAAATGACACTGAATAACAGAGTTACTTTTTGCAAAAGGGTGCGAAACGGCGGAAACTAACACTGTTTATTTTCATTTAAAAAAAAAAAAGACGCGCGGTGCATAATCCATTATGCACCGCGGTGCATAATATAATTTGCCGAACTTATTGGTTTGGGCTAAATAGTCTTATTTTGTTTAGTTTTTGGGTTGGATTAGCCCTAACTCTGAACTATGAATTATTGGGCTTATTCAGTGGCTAAATCAATGAACTCATGCCACAAATCCATAATCAACATAAAGTTCAAAACCAAAAATGCTACAAATTCACAATCAATAAACAAAAAATATGCAGTTTTCAAATAAATAAATTCAATGCATATAATAATTCAACATAGAAATTAAATAATAATCTGGTACCTACTATCCATAGGCGGTTTAACCGGATAAAATATAAATGTAGGTACCCACCAGGCCACCAGCGGTTTAGCCGCAAATTATGCTGTGCAACCGAATGCACCTTGCAAGCTGCATACGGTTGCAAAACGGCGCCGTTTTGGTTAAAAAAAACGCGCGTCCCACTTAAAGAAGAAATCAGGTTCGATTCCCGGCAATAGCATTTTTATATATCCAGAAATTCATAACTATATAACCACAATTTCATAACTATATATCCACAATTTCATAACTATATATCCACAGTGAATGAATGAAGTAAAAATCCACAATGAATGAATGAATGAAGTAAAAATCCACAATGAATGAACTAAATATCCACAATATATGATTGAACTAAATATCCACAATGAATGAACTAAATATCCATAAATTCATAACTATATAACCACAATTTCATAACTATATATCCACAATTTCATAACTATATATCCACAGTGAATGAATGAAGTAAAAATCCACAATGAATGAATGAATGAAGTAAAAATCCACAATGAATGAACTAAATATCCACAATATATGATTGAACTAAATATCCACAATGAATGAACTAAATATCCATAAATTCATAACTATATAACCACAATTTCATAACTATATATCCACAATTTCATAACTATATATCCACAATAATGCTATTGCTGAGAGTCGAACCTGATTTTTTTTTTAAGTGGGACGCGCGTTTTTAATCAAAACGACGTCGTTTTGAACCGTATGCACCATGCGCATGGTACATTCGGGTGCACAGCATAACTATTGCGGTTTAGCCGACAAAGAAATTAACTCAAATAAATTCATAAATAAATAAACCTACTGCTTATATTCATAAACCAAATAAGTATCTAAAATAAAAACAAAATAAACTAAAGAGTTAATACCCAAAATGGTCCCTCGACTATGCCATAATTATCAATTTGGTCCTCAACTATCATTCTTACCCAATTAAGTCATCAACTATGTAACTTTTACTCAATTAAGTCCTCAACTATACAATTCTTACCCAATTTGGTCCTCAACTATACAATTCTTACCCAATTTAGTCCTCTGTATTAATTTGACTATTTGTTGACTGTCAAAAGTCGGGATAAAATTATAATTTTACAAGATTTCTCCTTCCTCTCCATTTAGCAGCGCCAAACCATGCAGCAATACACTCCGATCAGATTTCGATCGTCAAAAAATGGTTGGAAATCAAATTCATGGACTATCCGATGCATAACCACTACTTCGATACTGCCAGGTTTAGAACCCAACCGGAACTTATTGCTACATGGTTTGGCGCTGCTAAATGAGGAGGAAGGAGAAAACTTGTAAAATTACAACTTTATTTTCATTTTTGACAGTCAACAAACAGTCAAATTGAAAAAAGGACTAAATTGAGTAAAAATTGTATAGTTGAGGACTTAATTGGGTAAGAATGATAGTCGAGGATCAAATTGGTAATTACGACATAGTCGAGGGACTATTTTGGGTATTAACTCTAAACTAAATGTTTATGTTTGAAAAAATCAAATAAATTACTTGCAGTTTTACCAGAATTGAGCAGCCGTAGGCGATGGCAGTCCGCAGCCCGCAGTGAGGAATTGAGCAGCCGCGGAATTACAAAGACTAGGTTGGAGGTCGGCGGTCGGCAATCTCAGCGGTCGACAATCGGCACCTCTGCAATCTCGACTTCTCGAATCTCGCGTCGACAGTTGTCTGTTCTCGCCTTCTCGCGTCGCAATAGCCCAGGACTGAGACTATAGCTTGATTTCAAATTGAAATTTGCTAGAAACCCATAAGTTGCTTGAAATTTTGGACTTCAAATTTCTCTCCTAATCTATGTTCTCTCTGTTCCGGCTTCTCGCGTCGCCACAGCCAACAAGAGAGAGATTAGAGTTTGATTTTGAATTGGGATTTGCCAGAAGCCCAGAATTAGCTTGAAATTTTGGGCTTCAAATTTCTCTCCAAATCTTGGGCTTCAAATTATATTTTCTCTATTTCACCATTTTAATTGAAATGTTGATAGACGGCCCAGCTCGACAATCCGGGCACATTATGCCCTGGACCCGTGTTCATAATGAATTGTGGACATGGGCCCAAAACGACGTCGTTTTTCAAAAAAAACGCGTCATTTAGTTTTAAAAAAAAAATCCGCGCGTGTTTTGCCATTAACGGCGTTATTTTTTTTTTTTTGGATTATGAATGTACAGTTATGCCGTTATGAATGTACAGTTATGCAATTATGAAATTATGAACACAGAGCTCTAACATTATGAACTTACAATTATGAACATATAGTGATAAAATTTATGACCATGGAGCTTTAAAATTGTGAATATAGAGCTTCGAAGATTATGAATGTACAATTATGGAGTTATGAATGTACAGTTATAGAGTTATGAATCTACAGTTATGGAGTTATGAATCTACAGTTATGAGATTATGAATCTACAGTTATGGAATTATGAATGTACAATTATTGATCGAATTATGAACAAAGAGCTCTGACATTATGAACTTACAATTATGAACATATAGTGATAAAATTATGAACATAGAGCTCTAAAATTGTGAACATAGAGCTTCGAAAATTATGAATGTACAATTATGGAGTTATGAATGTACAATTATGGAGTTATGAATGTACAATTATGGAGTTACGAATGTACAGTTATGGAGTTATGAATGTACAGTTATAGAGTTATGAACGTACAGTTATGAAGTTATGAATGTAAAGTTATTAACATATAGTAATAAAATTATGAACATATACTCTTATAACGAATCAGTCTGAAATTTTATTTTTTTTAAAAAAGGAGATAACAGTGCCGTTAGGCACTGTTACCCGTGTCCAGCATGCATGCTGGACACGGGTCCAACGCATAACGATTGGACAATCCGGTGGGTTAGCCCAACTCAACCCAGTAATCCTATAGGGCTAATCCAATTACCTTATTTTTTTATTGGGTTGATTTTATTGGATTTTAACCCTATAATTTTCAGGGCTTATTGGGTCAGCCCATTGATTTAAGGCCAAATTGACATCCATACGAGTAGCAATCATTATACCCTACACCACGGCGCACATAGCATTGTGCGCCGCGCGCCTCCCAAAACGACGTCGTTTTGAGGTCGTTTTGGGAGGCGCGGTAGGAAGTTGCTGGGATTATGTGTATTTGTTCACACAGTTATGTGTATTTGTTCATACAGTTATGTGTATTGGTTCATACAGTTATGTACATTTTTTATACAATTATGTACATTCTTTTTATACAATTATGTACATCCGAATCAGAAAATTTGTGTGTATTATGTTAATAGTTTATGTTTATTATGTTAAAAGTTTATGTTTATTATGTATTATTTTAGATTATGTGTATTATCTTTTAAAAAGAGTATGTATATTTTGTTATATAATTATGTACATTCATGTATACAATTATGTGTATTCTAGTATAACATTATGTACATTCTTGAACAGCGGGTTTTTTTTTAAAGAAAAAACTACTGCCATTCACTAGGGCGGGAAATTTCAAAAAAAAAAAAAAAAAATTAAAACGACGTCGTTTTGCATCTGGGCGCATAGTGCAACGCGCGCCGTGGTGTAGGATATAAATTGCCTACGAGTAGTGTTTGTCGTTTTAGATCGTGGTCTACAGTATAATTGTAGACCAACGAGTTGTTGGGCTTGAATTAGTTTGGTTGAATTAGATTTGAGTTATATTTTAATATCAGAATAGTCCATAATAGATTGAATGAGTAAATACCACCTATGGTCCCTCGAGTTTGGTGGCATCGCCATCAATGGTCCCTAACTTCCGTAATTACCATCCGTCATCCTCCGAGTTGTCAAAAGTTACCTTCTAGCGTCCTTCCGTTACTTCCTTCCGTCTCAGCCGTCAAAATGGAGGGTAATATTGTCATTTGACTTATACGAAAAGAGTTAATACCAGCTAAGGTCCCTCGAGTTTGGTGGTTTGGCCATCTTTAGTCCCAAGTTTCCATATTCCATTATTTTCCTTCTTTCATATTCTCTTCTTCAAATGTATTATTATTACTATTATTTATAGTTATTATGAAATTCTTATTATTATTACTATTATTTAAAGTTATTATTATTATTATTAAATTATTATTATTATTGTTATTGTTATTATTATATTATTAGCATTAAATTATTATTATTATTGTTATTATTATTATTATTTTTATAATATTCATATTCATATTATTATTATTATTATTATTGTTATTGTTATTATTAAATTATTATTATTTATTATTATTATTATTATTATTTTGAATTATTATAACTATTATTATTATTGTTGTTGTTGTTGTTGTTTTTGTTGTAGAAGAAATGTACAAATGCTATTATTATTATTATTATTATTATTATTATTATTATTATTATTATTATTATTATATTCATATTATTTTTGTTATTGTTATTGTTATTTTTATTATTATTATTATTAAATTCTTATTATTATTACTATTATTTATTGTTATTATTATTATTATTATTATTAAATTATTATTATTGTTGTTGTTGTTGTTGTAGAAATGTGCAAATGCTATATAAGATGAGTGTATTTAATAAAATCAGAAAATTAGAGAAATAAAAATCTGGAGGAATGGAAAAATGGAAAACTGAAAAAATGGAGAAGGAAAACTTAAAAAATGGAGAAAGAAAACTGGAGAAATGGAGAAATGAAAAACTGGAAATGGAAAAACGGATAAATGAAGTAAACGACCCCTATACATTTGTAAATTTTCTTTAATATTGTATAGGAGAAGATGGAGTTGGAGTTGGAAGTTGAGAAACCACCAACTTTCTTTAATATTGTTTGGCCAAGTTTGGGACTAAAGATGGCCAAACCACCAATAATAATAATAATAATAATAATAATTTAATAATAACAATAACAATAATAATAATAATAATAATAATAATATGAATAATAATAATAATAACAATAATAATAATAATAATAATAATAATAATAATAATAATAATAATAATAATAATAATAATAATAATAATTTAACGCTAATAATAGAATAATAACAATAACAATAACAATAATAATAATAATAATAATTTAATAATAACAATAATAACTTTAAATAATAGTAATAATAATACATTTGAAGAAGAGAATATGAAAGAAGGAAAATAATGGAATATGGAAACTTGGGACTAAAGATGGCCAAACCACCAAACTCGAGGGGCCTTGGCTGGTATTAACTCTTTTCGTATAAGTCAAATGACAATATTACCCTCCATTTTGACGGCTGAGACGGGAGGAAGTAACGGAAGGACGCTAGAAGGTAACTTTTGACAACTCGGAGGATGATGGGTGGTAATTACGGAAGTTAGGGACCATTGATGGCGATGCCACCAAACTCGAGGGACCATAGGTGGTATTTACTCTAGATTGAATTATTTATTTTCTCAAATTTTATAAAATTTATTTTTTAAAATAGGATAATGATTTTTATTTATACATCTAATTTAGATTTTTTAAAATAATTATAACAAAATAATTATATTGTTATAATTTGTGCTTAATCATATTAAACATGGTTAAATTTTATTTAATATATAAAATAAATATTGTAAATGAAATTAATATTGTGTCATGTATGAATAGTATTAAGTATTAACTTAAATGTTACCAAAAAAAATCATTAAGCTTCCGAAATCAAAGTAACGCTCATCTCTTATGTGGTAGCGATATGATGGTTCTGGTAATAACGCAATAATTGCTAATTGTACTTGTTAAAGACAAGTACAACTTTGGTGTGTTTTTGAGTCTCATGTAAAAAGAAAAATGATTATAACTATGTTTTTTAAAAAAAATTAATTATTTAAATTATTAATCGAAAATATACCAAAACCCACTTATATGGTGTCGAAGTTTTAGAGATGAGGCCTTTTGGCGAAGCGAAGTCAATTTTGGGCCACCAAACCCTACAACTGATGAGAAGGCCCTATGGAGTAAAGGTAAGCGTGTACGTTGTCACACTCCCTGCCTTCCAAAGGTGCCTAGAGGACGGGCTAGACGCAGCAGAGCGACGACCCGGGAGCGGATTCCCCACTAGCAGGGGGACAGGAGACGACCATCTCAAGGCACATCACGACCTACAGGCAACATCGGCGAGACCTGCGAAGGCAACCCGATTGGGAGTCAGAGGATCCATAGTACCTGCAACCGGGAGGACTTCATATTCATCCTTTTTTAAAGCGGGGGGAAGGGTTCTCTTTTTTGCAACGGAAAAAAACGGAGCAGATTTGACTCGGCATAACCTAACGATACATCCAATGCCAATGATCTGTGCCTAGAATGCGTTGCTAGATCTCTGCTCTAGAAAGCTATACAGGCGCGCTTTTACCCCGGGCTTCCCTTTCATTACTTCTTTCACGACGAGAGAACCGCGTCCGCATCAGTCGAAGTGGTGGAGGGCCCCCTGAGTCAAAGGGAGAGCTTCTTCACTTCTCTCCAAGAGATACGATTCGGTATCTGAATCGGCTGAAGGAGAGTGAAGAGTCGGCTACTTTCTCAGCCCAGCCCACATGAGAGCCTCTTCTTTCTGGTCTACATCAAGTGCATTGAATGCCCCACAATCAGAATCCAAGAGGGTGGGCTGAGAACGATGTAGCCAACCAGAGCCTTGACAGTGAGAACGACAAGGCCGCTCTACAGACCCTTCTCACCAATTTACAAGAACGGCTGGAAGCCGTTGAGACAAAGATGGAAGAGGTGGAGCCGAGGATTTCTAGAGTCGAGAACGCCACAAGAAACCTTAGAGAGCAGGTTAATGTGGTCCACGCACTACAACAGCTCATGTTCAGAGGA